GGATTAAAGTATGAAACAACGTAGATGCTGACTAACCATAAAAAAGAGCAATGCTACACCACCTCCTTCTCTATCACACATTTTTATTTTATTTTTATTTATTTATTATTTTTAAATTTCTTGTCCTTTTTTGTGGACAAGGAGAGAGTGAGGGATAAATGGAGTACATATTTGGTGTACCCCCAGCATTTTTCTAAAAAAAAAGACCGTGTCCCCAAACAAAGCCTATGTAGGCCTCTCAATAGGTTAGTCTAGACCAAACCCAAATAATACCTGTAATTTTTTGAACAAGTCTGATTCTATAAAAAAAAAGGCATTCTTTATGCGTACTTTGTATTTGTTATTTAATTAAAATAAAGAGTCAGATATAAGGATTTAAAACTTGTTATTACTAACAGGATACATTACGGGAGATGCTTACTAAACGGTATGTGATGAATTTTTAAACCATTTGGTACCATTCTATTTTAAAATGTAATGAAATCTCTCTGCGTAGCATTATAAAATTACCAATATTACATAAATAATACCCAGTTTTTTGACCTAAATGAGAGTGCCAGTGTGAAAAAATTCCAACTATACCTTTTTGATAATTTTATTCAATTCATTAGTTTTAGGAGTTCAATTATTCTATTAGCATGTATGAAGTGGTTACGTTTATGCATTCTTTACACAACGGTGCCGCTCAAACTCTCCGATTATTCACTCACATTGTCATCTACCGAGACACCGAAGCACCGCCGAGTCATCTCATAACATTAGATTCCAATGTCATGAGAACCTCACCCATTCTTTACTCCCTTTGTTGTTCCCAAATGAATTACACTTTTCGACCAACGTGAAAAATCTCATGTTTTTAAAGTTTATTTTATATAAAAATTTGGTATAGAAATGAAAAAAGAAAAACTTACATATTAAAAGACTACAAAAAAAATTTACAAAATAAGAGGGGGAAAAAATCTTAATTTATCAAATGATTAATGAAAACATACAAAAAAACCAAATTATTAAGACACCGCAATTGTAATCGTGTAATTCATTTGGAGATGAAGGGAGAAAAGAGTCTTATTTTGATAGAAGACTGGTGAAAGAGGATCGTTTTGATAGGAGAGGATGTATGTGCGGTAAACCTAACTCACGTGCGATCACTAAATTTAACTAAAAATAGCAAACCTAAAATTTGAGAATTAAAAAAATATGCATTATATCCCTTTCCTTAAAAATAAATAAGCAATGTCCCAAAGAAAAAAATGGTATTGAAATAATGGGCATAACTAAAAGTGACAAAAAAAATGGTGTATTTAATAGAAAAAAATTGCTAAAAACAGATAAAAAATAAAATTTATGCTAGAATATAATTAGAAAAATGAGTCAACATAGTCTCTTCCGTTTTCATACAAATTTCTCTTATTTGTATGTTAATGTTTTTATGAATAAATTGCTTCAACAACTTGTTATCTCATGTCGTTTTTAGTCATTTTTCACTAATTTTGTCGTCAAAAATCAGATGATACACAACCTTTTTGTTCATAAATATTAATATTCCTGTTGTTTGCATCCGCCAAACAACCATTCCATTGTCGTCCAGCGGTTAGGATATCTGGCTTTCACCCAGGAGACCCGGGTTCGATTCCCGGCAATAGAAGTTTTTGTTTTAAGGGCGATTTTGCTTTTTCTTTAACGTTTTATCCCACAATAACTGATCCCGGTCCAGCCCAAATTTTTTAGCCCAGCCCAAATGCCCACGTTAACTCCTATTCTTCCCACTTTCCCATGTTCTAATCTTTTGAGATCTAACCCAATATGAGTAATTTACTTAAATAAAACTAAAACATAATTAGTTTTTCAAAGGTCATATGCTTTTATTTCCTAAGGACCCTTGATCATTATCTATTAGTCATTATTTAACTAAATGTCCAGCATTATTTGGACATTATTCTTCTCACTAGTCATTATTAAGTCCTATTTAGAGAATAAAAAAGTTTAAGTCCTAAATTGGGAAATGATGTATGCTTTAATCATATTCACTGCAAATTTCACTATAGATAATATATTTGTCAACGAGTATTAATATATTACTCCCTCTGTCTCGTTTTAAATCGCCCGTTTTGACTTTTGGACATATTTAAGAAAAATTAAAAATAGAGTTGATTTTTCGAAATTGTCAATACTTTTTAGGAGGGATGATGATGAACGAGAATATAATGTGTAGAAGATTGACTTATTTTAGAGATAGTTTAGGTATTTTATTTTTAAAAATTTACGAAAACAACTAACAGGCAACTTATTTTGAGACGCAGAAAAAGGCAAACAAACAATTTAAAATGGGACGGAGGTAGTATTTTTTAGTTTTTGAATAGTCTTTAAATTAAATAAATAATGTACACAATTTTAAAATAACGTTGATAAGATTTTTTTCATTTGTAATCAATAATAATTTGGATATATATGGATATGGTACGATGTTTGATTCATTTCATTGTCTAAGCAAATGTAAGCATAATCAATCATTGTATTTTTCAAATATTTTGGAAAACTTCTTTAAACACAATATTATTAGTGGTCTCAAAATATGGCTTATCTCCATTGCTACATATCAAAATCTTCAACCCCAAACGATTTCGAACCCTAGACATGATAATGTACAATTGTCCGTAACTAAACACTTGTTTTTTAATAGCACTCCAACCTTGCAAAGTGATTGTCTCTTTGACTCTAGTTTATGATCGTTACATATGAAACATGACTGGGTATTGTTTTCTCTAAAAATTGAAAGACAATCTTGTATAAGACGGTGTTAATGAAATCCTAGGAAGCAATATCCTTTCACAAGCATTCCCTCCTTTAATAATCTTTACTTCTAGCACTCGATTCTCGAGCCTTATAACAATTAGTCTTGTTCCATTACACTACTCATTAGCATAGTCAATATTGCACAATAGCATTATGGTTGTTCCTACCTTTGGTCGTATTTCATGGTTGGGAACCCAAAGAAAAAAAATTAATGGTGCTAAGAATTCGGTGTGCGTAAATCAACAACTAAATTATTAAACTATATCTCATATCTGATTGACATACAGTGTCTGCATTATAGTAAACTCGTGGTTTAGCATTATTTTTTGACATAATGTATTGGTTAACCGTTTCAACAATTTCTAATGTTGGGGCTAATATAGCGTGTTCTTCTAGTATGTTGTTGTCAACAACATCGCCACTTGCGGGGGTATATTTCTTCGACAATGGCTTCACTTGGGTCATTACCATGTTCTACCAAAAGATCAAATGGAATCGCAATGTCAGCTACACCATCATTTGGATCTCCGGCCTTACCATCTCCAATACTTGCAATCCAATATGTGAATTGTTGCAGCTCCATTGAATTATGTAAACCATCGTTGGAAAGGCGCATATTTTTTGTTATTAGTTTTAGGGTTGTGCAATCTCTCCACAAGTAAGATGAATTCATTGTAGCATGAACAATGTCTTGCCTTGTTCCCTAAAGAACTATTGTTAATCTTTGTTAAAAATCTCCAGCAAAAACATTTATTTTCCCATCAAAAGATTTGAACGGACTACGAGAATTTTTCACACACAAAATATCCCTTTAACTTCTATCCAATTCTTCAAAACATTCTCATTTTTTGTTCATTTTCTTATTTCTGTTTTTTTTGTTTCCTTTTTTTCTCATTGTCTTTTCATACTTCGTATATATTTTTAATTTCTTTCCTAGAACTATTTTTTAACATCTTTTTTAGTTATTAGAATTAATTATAAAATAAAAAAGAATGTAAAAGAAAATGAAAAAGAAGTATATAATAATTTTTTATAAAAAAAAAAGGAAAATAATGTCATGAGGAAAATCTGTTGGACATTAGTCCAACATAGACCTTACTCTGCATTTTTTGGTCCAACATATTCAAAAAATAAGAACGTTGTTTAGATGAAAATTAAAATACTAATTAAATTTGATACGAATGGAGTATTTCATTCGCAAATTTTACTGAAATTATTTTTAATTTAGTTTATTTGAAAATTGGTAATAATTTATATATAAAATTTATATTTTTGAAAACTACATCAAAAATTCTACTCCTTCCGTCCCACTTTAGATTACAATATTCCCTTTTAGTTGAAATTAAGGAAGAGTCAAATCAAATTTTTTCCCCCAAATTACCCCCCAAATCCCCCAAATATCCTTTCCACTCACATGGATGAATAGTGTGAATAGTGGCTAGCAGAAAAGAAAAGGGAAGGATAAAAAAGTCAACTTACTATAAAGTTATTGACTTTGTAATCCTTTTTGGGACAAAAATGTGAGGGAATATTGTAATCTATTTCGGGACGGAGGAAGTATTAAAAAAGATATGACAAGATTATATTATTATTTCAAATGAATCAAAACAAAATTACAATTTAACTATATGAATAATAAATATGCAATTTATATTGGGAAATGAACTCATGTGAAAAACACCAAACCAAAATCAAACCTTTATTATTTTTTTGTTGTTTTTTTCTTCCTTGGAGCAAAAATTATATAGTAGTAAATTCTTATAGAGAAATTTACTTAAATAGAACTAAAACATAATGACTTTCCCAATATAGGACTATATGTTTTTATTTTCCAATGTAGAATTTTTGGTCATTATCAAATAGTCAATATTCAAGTAAATATACATCATTACTAGACATTATTCCTCCCACAAGGTCATTATTAAGTCCTATTTAGAGAATAAAAAAGTTTAAGTCCTACATTAGAAAAATCATTATGTTTTAGTCCTATTTAGTGCAAATTTTACATTCTTATATGCAATGTTTGGCAATCTTAATGCAAATGATAACTCACACGTTCATAGCCCATTAATCCCATAATAATAATAATACAAGTAATGAAAATATAATGATAATAATTAAAAGGGAAAAAAATAAAAAGAAACACACACAGTGCCACACTGGACGGCCGGTCCCTCAAGAAATAATGACAAAACTCGCCAGACAAACTCCCAATAATACCCTCGCGATCCAACCGCCGACAAACGCCGAGGCCCCGTTCTTGTTGTCACTCGCCGTGTCATCCGCCGACTCATTGTCGTCCGAGCTCGGCCCCGGCGATTCTGCCGCCGGCTTTTTTCGCTCTGTCGGCGCTCTTCTTCTTCTTTCCCTTTGACCCTTTGGGCGCTGGAGCTTCCTCCGCCACCGCCTTGAAAAGCTTTCTCGGCTGCAAAGCTATGTCCGTGATCCGTCTCTCGTTGACCAAGAATGTTGCGTTCAACATTCTGAAGGAGAAGACAGCGAAGGAAATTATGGATGCACTGTCTAACATGTATGAGAAGCCATCTGCAGCGAACAAAGTTTTTCTGATAAGAGAGCTGGTGAACACAAGGATGAAAAAAGGCACTTCTGTTACCGAGCATATGAATAAGCTGAATTCGATCTTAGCCAGACTATTATTGTCAGTGGGCATTAAGTTCGATGATGAAGTTCAAGCTTTGCTACTGCTATCGTCTTTGCCTGATAGTTGGTCCGGAAAGGTTACAACGGTTACCGGTTCAGTGGGACCTGATGGATTCACCTTTGATCAGATTCGAGATCTTGCTCTTGGCGAGGATGTCAGAAGAAAGAGTTCAGGTGAGTCATCTGGTGAATTGCTTCATGTTGGTAGAGGCAGAAGGAATAGCAGAGGTAGTGGGAGCAGGAACAGACAAAGGAGTCAGTCGAAGACTCGGGATAACTCAGGTGTAACGTGCTTGAAGTGCAAGGAGGTGGGGCATTTTAAGAATCAATGCCCGAATGACAAGAAAGTGAACATTGCTAAAGGCTCTGTGAGTGATGAGGAGGTCACTCAGACTTGCTGTGAGGAAAGCAATGTGGATTCCTAGGTCATGGATTCTGGTGCTTCATTTCATGCTACCCACAGCGGTGAAGCATGGCAGAATCTGGTTATTGGAGACTTTGGAAAGGTACGACTAGCGGACGACAGAGCTCTTGAGGTGATGGGCATGGGTGACATGGTGTTGAAGACCCAGTCGGTTTCTGGACTTTGAAGGATGTCAGAGTGGTTCCAGGTTTGAAGAAAAAGTTTGATTTCTGTCAGGCAATTGGACGAACAAGGACACGAGGTGAAGTTCAGAGACAGGCAGTGGAAGGTCGTGAAGAGAAAGGAAAGAAGAGTGGGTCGCTGTACATGGTCGGGTTACCGTCTGAGGGACTGACTGTCCCAGTTCAGAAGAAAAACAAAGTCCGGTTCACAGAGTCTCGTGGGCATAAGAAGGTTGTCTGTGCAAGAGAGAAAGCTAGAGAAAGCTAGAGTCACTCACTAGTCAGACTCAGGATGAACGAGCGTGGAAAGGTTCAAGGGGGGCTGTAACACCCCACCCTAGATGACCCGAGTCATCCAGACCAAAGTGCTGGTAAAACCGGGTTACTTTGTAAAATATGATTTATCTGAAATTTATTTTCTTTTTGATAACTTAAGAGAATTAAAAAAAACATTTTTCGCGTAAGCTTAAAGTAAAAACATCCACAGTTAATACAACCTTGGGTTCAAGCCCAAAAACAATGTAAATTAAGTTCGTTGTTTTATTCATTATTAAATATTAAATAAGAACTCCTTCGGCACGGCCTCCACGTCTAAGCTGTCCTCCTCAACAGTTGTTTTCTTTGCTAGTACCTGCGTGCAGTTAAACACTACACGCTCAGCATAAGCTGAGTGGCAAATAACCAGTAGACATATAACATGTAAATATATTTTGGGCCTTTTAAGTTATTCAATTTATTCCAAAAAGAAAAAAAACTTTTCGCATAATTAAAAATCATCGAGGAAATAATTTCACTTAGAATAGTTACTTGGGGACATTTAGAAATACTTTTGACTTACTAGGTTAACCACAGATTAGAGACTAAGCCGTGACTAGGCTGGAACCCCGCACTAGTCGATACGTAGTTTCACTTCGGATACCTCCCCGTGACCTCGGGTCCAGTAATCAGAAGTGAACCCTATACTCATGGGGTCATCGTCGGGTTCTCGTGCGTACGTTGTGGTATGATTATTTATAGGCTCATCCACATGGACACGGTCCGGCCTTGAAAGTGGTTGACCCACCTAGTAAAACGTGACAGTACCTGGTCAGGGTACGTCGTTCAAATCGGTATTGAAGTTTTTTTTCTTCGTCCTAAGTCTCTGGTTAACCCTAGCATGGTCTTTTGAATAAACTACTTTGATGTCTTAAAGGATGAATCACTTCTAATTCATTTCTTTAGGTCCCCATTTTTAGCAGCAAAACCCATTGTATGGAACTTTTACATAAATTAAGCACACAAGTTGTATTGATTTTTCGAGTATTTGTAAAAAACATTTTCCGAATCCAAACATGTAGGTAACAGCCCATTCTTGTTAATCATTACCAACTTTTAGTTTGCAGAGGTAAATATCAATTTTCATTCATTTACAAATTTCCAAGGCAATATATAGGTTTTTATTCATTTAACCCATTCTTTTAAATAAAAAAAACATCCAACTTTTATTGTACTCATTTATGTGCATGCGTACGTTTCAAAAGGGAAAAAAACACAAAAGAAAATCAAATGATTTACCCACAAAATAGCAATTACGAATTGTTTCTTTAAACATACTATAATATATATGTGTGTGTATTTAGATATCATACACGGAGAATAAAATTTTGTTTTTACTACTGCCGAAGGTTTATAAACAAAATATCCTTTTTTTTCTTTAAAAAAAAACGTTAGGTATATATATATATATATATATATATATATATATATATATATATATATATATAGCGTGGATATAGATACACAATTTTTATGCTTTACTATTTTTTTCATGAAATCCAAATCAATTTATACATATAAAAAAAGTGCTCAAAAATATATGAACATGTAATATACGGCTAAAAGTTAGGGTCAACGGCACACCTTCAGTGTCTGTTTAGTCAAAATGATGGCTTGACAACGTTGACGGGATGATTCCGTGATGCGTCCCCCACGTCTCTCTCCACCCCTCGGCAACGCCACAACCCACTCTTACTCACACACCCTCTCAACCTACTAAGCTATATATTTTTTCCTCTTCAAATGATCTTACCTCCTTTCTCATTCTAGGAGACCTTATTTATAGGGAGAAGGAGGGTAAATGAATGGTTTAAAAAAATATTTTTTTTATTAAAATAAATCATTACTCCTCTTAATTAATGAGGTGAAATGAATGGGGGAGGGTGGAGATTCCTATGTGGCGTGAGAAAGGAGAAAACAAAAGTTTTCCCACTCCGTTGATTTAGTATTATGTGTCCGATTTTCAAAGTTTCATTTATTAAATATTTATAGTAAAAATATAAAACTTATGTCGTTAATTTCCATATTTTTCACATCATTTTAACATAATTTGTTTGTTAAGAAAATAGGTTCACTTGAACAAATTATGTGAATAGGAGAACCAAACTAATTTTTTTTATTCCCTTTCACTTTACTCTGTTTTTTCATCTCTACTAGTAATTAATCATTTAATATTAAATTCCAAATTGATGGTTTCTATATATATATATATATATATATATATATATATATATATATATATATATATATTATTTTTTTAAAATATTTTTTCATTTTTTTGTACTAGAAAGTTAAAAATTCCTAGACCGATTTTCAGGGCGTTACAGGGCCAGTGAGAGGTATTTGTGGCAGTGGGAGCTCAAGAGGCGCTTCAGCCAAGTTGCCTAGAAGACAGTGGGTCAGGAGAACTAGCATTCCAGCTGTTGGAACATCTCCAGAAAATTTCTTGCTGAGTACGGAGAGTGTTTGTTCTCAGCATGTTTCAGGATCCGGTAGTGTGCATCAGCAGTGGGAGTCGGTAGGGACCGGAGACAAGTCAATGGCAGATTTAGTCGTGACTGATAGGTTGGAGCTTAAGAGAGCTTCAACGGGCCTTTCAGTTGTCTGATGATAGGGTCGCTGCAACAGGAGAGCTGAAGAAGATTACTCGATATACAAGGAATCGTGGTGGATGGCAGTTGATGACTATCAAGCCTCCAAGTGGGAGAATGTTGGGTTTGTAGAGGCTTGGGCTTGACTTTTGGCCCGGCCCATGTTACGAAACCCTAGATGCACTCTTCCTATATATATTGCATACTTGTACTTGTAATCGGCACCACAAGTGAAATAAGAAAATCCTTCTGTTGCAGCCGTGGATTAGGGAAATCGAACCACGTTAAATTCTTGTGTGTCGTTTGTGTTCTGTTTCTCTCGTTTCTCGCAAATATTTGTGCGTATTGTGTGTTTAATTCCCAACACATAAGTCCAAAATAGACCTTACTGTGCATTTTTTGGTCCAACCGATTCAAAAAAAAAAGAACCTTGTTTAGATAAAAATTAAAATACTAATAAAATTTGATACGAAAGAAGTGTTTCATTCGCCCCGTAGAACATTTTTTAGCATGTTGTTTACAAAGTTTCACTAAAATTATTTTTAGTTTATTTTATTTGAAAATTGGAAATGATTGAAACATAAAATTTATATATTTTTAACTACATCAAAAGTTATATAAAATAAAAATCTGATAAGATTATATTATTTTTTCAAATGAGTCAAAACGAGATTACAATTTGAGTATGTGAATAATAAATGTGCAATTTAAATTGAGAAATGAACTCATGTCAAAAACACCAAACCAAAATCAAACCTTTATTATTATTATTATTTTGTTTTTTTCTTGCTTGGAGCAAAAATTATACAGTAGTAAATTCTTATATGCAATGTTTGGAAATCTTAATGCAAATGATAACTCACACGTTCATAGCCCATTAATCCCATAATAATAATACAAGTAATAATAATATAATGATAATAATTAAAAGGGGAAAAAAATAAAAAGAAACACACAAAGTGCCACACTGGCCGGTCCCTCAAGAAATAACGACAAAACTCGCCAGACAAACTCCCAATAATACCCTCGCGATCCAACCGCCGACAAACGCCGAGGCCCCGTTCTTGTTGTCACTCGCCGTATCATCCGCCGACTCATCGTCGTCCGAGCTCGGCCCTGGCGATTCTGCGTCGTCTTCTCCGCCCCCGGCTTTTTTCGCTCCGTCGGCGCTCTTCTTCTTCTTTCCCTTCGACCCTTTGGGCGCCGGAGCTTCCTCTGCCACCGCCTTGAAAAGCTTTCTCGGCTGCAAAACTTTGTCCAGCTTGAACACCGCCAGCGGCTCCTGGTCGTACACCGTCCCGGTGACCGTCGCGACCACGACCGCGGTGTCAAGATTCACGGTGTCGCCGTCGTTTTTAACGGTGAAATCGTACTTGTTTGACCCTTCCGTGGCCAGGGTGTTCATTACCCCATTGTTGGATTTCAGCATCTCCAGGGAGTGGTAGATCGGGACGCCGTGGTAATAAAGAAGCCATAGCTTGTGCTCCTTCGTCAGATTCTTGTATTTCGGCATGAATCCTCGGACCGATTTGTCGTCCGGGCAGAAAACCGTTAGCCCGGATTGGGCACTTGCGGCGAAGGTTTCCTCGGCCCCGGAGCTCTTCAACAGATCTGCGAATTCCTTGCACCCCTGTTTGGTCAGCAGGGTCGTGATGTTCACGTCGGACGGGCCGGCCGCCGGGGCTTCCGCCGCGTCTGAAATGATGGGGTGGCTGATCTGGAGGACGGCGATTTTGTACGGGTCGTCGGAGATTGATTTGACGTAGGTGGAGGTGAAGTGGCCGTCGTTGTCCTCCGGGGCAAACCCGACCTTTCCGCCCTTGAGGGTGGTGATGTTGACGAATCCGGCGGTTCCGGGGGCGTCACCGGTGGCCTGGTAGATGGTGGAGGTGAGGGTGGTGCCCTTGTTGAGCTGGTGGAGCTTCTGGGACCCGAAGTAGTCGGAGAAGACGTGGAGGGAGAGGATGTTCTTGATGGTGGAGAGGGTGAAGTGCTTGTCGAGGAGGGAGGCCATTCCGGCGTTGTCCACGGCGCAGACCGTGATGGTCATGCGGCGGTTGATCTCGCCGGCGAGGTGTGTCACGGTGAGGTAGTGGTTGAAAGTAGAGAACTCTGGGTGCTTGGCGAGGATTTGGGTGATGTTGAAGGCATTTGCGGCGGCGGAGAAGGCGGCGGCGAGGACGAGGAAGAATAGCGAGGCCGCCGACAAACGCTTCATCTTTTTTAGTGGAGATCGAGTGCCGGTGAAGGCCTCACACTAGTACAAGTTGTAGGAGTAATAAAATGCCAACTAAGACTTGGTGGTCTTATATTACTATGTGGAGTACATATATTCAATTAGTAGTCCATTCCTTTTACTAATGGTATTTCACACAAAAAAAATGAAAAAATGCCCGGCGTCTTAGATTCGACGGGACGGGTACAGATTAATGTCAAAGAGTGAAGTCTCTATTTGGTGCATGCAGAGCTCATATGCTTAACATAGCTGTCTCCCAACGCAGTTGTCAGGAATCGAACTCAGATCTTACTTCTTTGGTACTCTTTGTCTTTGCCAACTACACAACGACTACCCACACTAATTGCATTGTTCAAGGGGACAGTTTCACCGAAGTTAACTCACTTTGAATCTCGATAACTCTAAAAATGGGAAAATTCCGTTGACAGTAGCATCCAACATCAAAAGATGACATTATCCATTTGGGGCATCTAAGATGCTCCTTTTTTAAAATTGATAGTTTCTACCCCTCAATAACCCCCCAAAGTAGTCCTAACAAGAACTTATCTCTCACTTCATTAATTATATCCCGTAAGTTTATTGGATTTGGGATATAAAAGAATTTGATCCCAAAGTCAAATAAATTTGTAGGGTATAATTGATGGAGGCAGGGAGCTAATGAATTCAAGACGGGGTTGGTGGGGGTTTACCTGGGTGAAATCATCACTTTTGGTAATAAAGCATCATAGGTACTCAGCGTCATCTGTTGAAATTAATTTAGAGTGTTATCTATTTAATATCATGTCAACTTAAACAAAAAGAAAATCATGAGACAAGAAATGTACTGGAATAAGTTAGAAATTAATTTGGAACGAACAATATGTACTATTTCATCTTTAGAAATGGGTTTTTCATTTTAAGTTAGCCGTGTCACTTTGCACCTCTGAAACCATGTCTGTACCGGAATAATTTTGAGCATCTAAATGTGAGTTTAAACTTGTCAATGACATTAAACTGGATAAATTTTAGAGGAATTTACGTAAATAACACTAAAACATAATGACTTTTCCTAAATAGCACTGCATATACTTTTTTTCCCAATGTAGCACTTTTAGTCATTATGCATTAGTCCCACTGGTCATTATGAACATTATTAAGTGCTATTTAGAGAATAAAACTATTTAAGTGCTATTTAGAGAAATTACTTAAGTTTTAGTGCTATTTAGTGCAAATATTTCTTTTATTAATCACAAGTATTCAATATATACAAAGGGCCTGTTTGAGAATAGCGTTATAGATTAGTGTTAGCGTTTTGGATAAAAATTTAACGATGCCGATTATTTTGAAAATGCTAACGCTAAACGCTGCCCGTAGATAGCTTTTTCAAAACGCTAACGCTATTCCCAAACAGGCCCAAAAACGACAAGATACTTTAGACGCAATCCGTTCATTAGTCATTACAATAGTAACATATTAATAAAAATGTCTCCCACCAAATAATAATATTAATAATGATAATAATAATAATAATAATTTATACTTCTTGTGTCTCCAAATAGTGGCAAATTCTTCCGTGGTCCTAGAATTTATAATTATTTTATGGGTTTTAGTTTAGAAATATCATGGATGAATTGAATTTTTGAAAAAAAATAAAAGATCGGTTCTCATATAAGCCCATTTAAGGTGTGAGACGGCCCATATTTTACAAGTGAACCTTAAGCTCAGGGAAGCACAACTCCCAAAGAATTGTTTATTTTTAAATACCGTGCAAAATCTCGTCCTTTTTAAATTGATTTTATATACACTCAGTATAGAATTAAAAAGTACTTCCTCCGTCCCATAAAAATGTTCTCATTTTGATTTTTATAAAATTTAAGGGAGAGATATTTTGTGTTGACTTCCCAAAAATACCATTAATGTGATGAACAAAGTTAGGATGTGATAAGTAGATTATTAGCAAAAAGGTATGATGTGATAGGTAGATTACGAATTAGTAGGGGTAAACGTGATTTTTTAAATGAAAGATGAATGACGTTGTGATGCAAGAAAAGAAAGAAAAGAAAATACTCCATCCGTCCCTAAATAAACTTCTCCTTTCGTTTTTTTGTCCCCAAATAAACTTCTCTTTTTCCTTAAAAACCCTTTTCTCCTTTACTTTTTCATACCCTACCTATCACATCATACTTTTTTACTAATAATCTACATATTACATCTTACTTTTACACATCACATCAAGGGTATTTTTGGAAATTCAATACAAAAATATCCCTTCCTTAAATCTTTAAAAAGTCAAAAAATGAAGTTTATTTAAGGAAGAAGGGAGTAAGTTTTTGGGGCGGAGGGAGTACGACTTAAATATTTAAAAATTACCTAAAAGATCTTAGAAAACAATTACTGGGATGACTATTTTTTTTTATCAAATGATCGGTAAAAACATATAACCCAAAGGGTCAATTTTTAGGGAAGGGAAAGAGTAAATATACACATGTAACTGCATAAAGAAGCCATTGAAGTTATCTTTATTTTTTTTCATGTGTTTTGATTCCGGACAACATTCGCGCTTCATGTGCTTTACTTGTATAGGAGATCAGCGACACCTTTAAAACGTCACTCCCATAAATGGTACGAAAGAGTCGGTGGAAACGAACAAGCTATACAAATTATTGAGAGGACTCTGATTTGGGTAAAAATGAGATCTTATCAAAAAAATAAGTATTCCTCCATCTCACTGTCTTTGTCCACTTATCTTTTGGCACACCATCCAATGCACTTCTTTAATCCATTTTATCTTGTAATTTGTATATTAAAAAATTATAGAAATTATATATTAATAATCTATATGTTAAGACAAATCAAACAAGATCACACATGACTAGATTTAGGCTTACACATTGAGAGAATTTGATGAGTCAAAGTGCTTAGATGAACAGTTCCAAAAGTCAAAAGTGGACAAAGACAGTGGGACGGAGGTAGTACTATATAATGGACCATGCTAGGGTGCCACCATATGGGTGTTACCATGGGTGCACTCATGTTTCATATAGACAAACACAGACAATAATTTTCTGTGCGACACAGACAATTATTGTCTATGTTTATCTATGTGAAGCATGGGTGCACCCATGGTAGCACCCATATGGTGGCACCGTAGCATTTTCCCTGTATAATACATGTGTTGTTTAAAAATGTAAGGCAGAAAAACTAAATTACGAGTAAAATATTAAAAATATATCGAATTAAGGTTTTCATGTTTTTTATTCTCAAAATAGAAGTTAAATTGTATTTATATTATCAAATATAGTTATGTACGTTGCCAAAAAGCATAGTAATGTGAACATGTACAATGCTACATTACCACCACATTACCATAGTGTGAACTCCTATTTCAGAAATAAAAATATGGAACTCCAATTTTGGTATTGTTTCTATGTTTTACTCTGGTTTAGGATGGTTTCTAAAAATGTAAATGATAGGAATCCCACTCCATCTTTTACAGTTTACACTAGTTGAAATATGAGTATGCATTCATTCTAACTTTTCCTCCCGTGGCGGACCCAAGAATTTCAGGGAGTGGTTTCACATTTTGTGCACAAAAAAATGTTGATATTTGTATAACAATAAATTTAAAATCTTAAAGGTAAAAAAAGTATCAATAAATAGCATTCTGGGATTAATATTGTGAATTATATGCAATATTTTTGATATATTGTATAAAAAATATAATACGCTCATTGTTTTAACCAAAAAAATAAAGAACTAAAGTAGTAATTCTAGACATTTCTTCAAATACTAAATACTCCATCCGTCCCAAAAAGTCTTTCCTGTTTCATTTTTTGCGCATCCCATAAAACACTTCTATCCCGCCTTGAATGCCAAAAAAACTTTCAATATAAGTTCTACCCACAATAAAGAATTGAAGAAATGTTGTAAATTTTAGGCATGTTAGATGTCGCTAGAAGTATTTTATGGGATGCGCAAAAAATGAAACAGGAAAAACTTTTTGGGACGGAGGGAGTATATCTAAGGAATCATTTTAAAACAATTAAACTTGTTCATACATTTCAAAAAAAATTGAACATTTTATAATTAAGTTTCATAATGAAAGGTAAATCAGTTTTCCAAATCTAAAAGAATTAAAACATAAAATTCTACACAACTATATAATGTGTCCTCTCTTCCATTTTCAAAAAATTACACCTAATCACATATAAATATACTCTCCTTGGATGCCCTTAGTCTACATATACTCCGTAATATCTAATTATATACTACTACTAATAAATAATTTTTTTGGAGTGGGTGCAAGTGACCCCATTGGAACCACCCTAGGTCCGCCCATATATGTTTTCCTCTCAGTTGAGTGATAGGAATGAATCATACTCCCTAATATTTGTGAGAGTCAAGGGAATGAGAGTTCATTTGCAAATGGTCAATCGGTTAGTTAGATTTAAAATGACCCAATTGTCCACTTAAGGAGAAGTGTTAGAGTGCATATCACATCGAAAGTTCAAGAGTAAAATAATCGGTATATAAGCTCTTGAGTTGAACTAATTAACTAATCGATTGGATTCAATTTTTTTAAATGTGGTTCAGCCCAAGTGTCTATTGCCTAGTCCAGTTATCCCTACCTCATCCTAAATTTTATCAATATACGTAACAACTACTCATAAAATTTAAAGAAAAACATACTCCGTATAATTTATCAAATCCATTTTTAGTGTAAACATAGAATGTTAGGGTGACACATTTTATTTTGATTAATTATATTCTAAATTAAAACTTAATCAAAGTATCATATATATGCTAATAGATAATTAAGAATAATATATTTTTAAATTTAAATCACAAATCTTCTAAAAGTATAAACTATAGCTTTCTAGTCATGAAATCAAATCATAAAATTAATATATTTAAACTACCTAATTATGTATAGTATTTTGTCCACTTTGGGACTATTATAACCCAATCATATCTTGTTTTTTAAAATTTCTAATGTAGTTTTAAAAATATATTCTTTGTTTTTAATTGTATATCATTATTAAAATAAATATATTCAAAACTAACTTTATTTCAACATATCATAAACAAATACTTGAAATTTTTTTAGAGGTGGAAACTGGAAAGAATAAGGTGTTTATTAATTGAAGGTTTTGTTACAAATAAAGAGAGAGAAGTATTGAATTAAGAAAGGGTATTATTATAAAACAAAAATCTCAGTTTCATATTTAAATTTATTCAAAAATTTTATCGTAAAATCTTTATTCCATATTTTCTTGTCTTAAACTAGCTAGGTGAAATAAGCCACTAATAAATATACATGTCAATTTTCTAAAGATAAGAGTCTCATTTTTATATATAAAAGATTTATTAAAAGTTTAATAATTTTATTTTTAACAAAAAGTAATAGTTTAATCTAATCTCATGTGTGTGAATGTTGAATATTTATTTAAGCATATATTTACTTAACTTGTAACTGACTATCTGTCATAAATTTCTAACGAATTCTTTTTTTATTGCCTTACCTAATAAATGAGAATTTGTCAAAAAATAATACCCATATATATGATAATATATCACCACATGCATGTCACTTTTTTAAAGATGCACATGCCACATTCTTAGACTTAAGAGTCTCACATTTGACTTTTTTGCCAGCTTAGCGAAATACTCTCTATGTTCTAATGTATTTGTCTAATTTGACTTTTTTGAGATAAATAGAAAGAACTTTGAGCTTTATTGAAACAAAAGTTATAATATATATTAGTATAAAAATGATTTTATTATAATTATCTTTTCGAAAACTAGTATATATGCAATACAAATTAAGAGTAAGAATAGTTAAAAAAGTCAAACTAGACAAATATAACGAGACAAGAGCATTGTGTTGCATTTTAACTATTGACTGGAAAACTAATACGGAGTAATTAAGTATGATTTGACAACTACGGAGTACTTAAAAAGCCCAAAAGGATCATAACTAGACCCCATCGGTTTAAAAGAGAAACATGTTAAAATAAAAATGAAATACATTTATACTACCGCCGTCCCAAAATATAAGTAACATTACGCTAAACGAAGTAATTTTTTTAATTTTTTCAATCCATTTTATTTAAAGAATGGTCTACAAATGAAAAATAAAACTTACATATTTAAAACTACGTCAAAACTTCTACAAAACAAGTAGTGAAAAGAATATTTTATTTCATCAAATAATCAATGAAAATGCAAAAATAAATAAAAGTTCCCGGGATTTTTAAATAGTGGTATGTTGCTTATATTTTGGGACAAAGGGAGTATTTTAATTGGGTAAATCGTAAATATTGTTTCATATACAAAATTGGCTAAACCTTATTAAAAGATTGAATCCAATCGATTACTTAGTTCAACTCAAGAGCTTATATACTCATTATTTTCCTCACACTTTTTTGATGTGGGATACTCTTTAACACTCCTCCTCAAGTGGACGACCCTGTTATTTTGAATCTAACCAGTTGACCTCTTGCAAATGGATCGGACTCACATCTCCTTGATTTTTTTTAAGCGCCGACACCTTAAAGACCACGAGCCGCTGTGTATGGACTTCCAGACGAGCAATCGTGTTAAACAGACAAACATGCCGTTGGATACATATTTCATACGGACAACCGGCAAATTAAATGGGCTGCTAGGAATGAACGTCTAGACGGACATCTTAACAAATGATGTGGGCTGGAACCTGCTCCGATACCACTATAGATTTTAGGATTAGGTAGAGATAACTGGATTTAGCAATAAGACATTTGGACTGAACCACATTAAACGATTGAATTTAATCGATTAATTAGTTCAACTCAAGAGCTTATATACCCATTATTTTCATCACACTTTTTCGATGTGGGATACTCTTTAACATATATGCATGGATGAATTCATAATTTTAAAATAGAAAACCAAATCCTACATAATCATGGGCCTTAATTTGAGGCCAAATAATAGAGGATAACTCTCGAATTCGATTCTTGTAAATACACTGAGAGACAGTAACGCTAAACATAAGATCTCTACATTTATCAGGTGCATCCTTCTCTCTTTATCACCAATATGTGATAAATAAGATTCATTTTAATTTAGACTTTGGTTGTTGGGGGGAGTAACCATTTTGAAGCCTCTATGAAGCCAAGTGTGAGGAATGGCTTAACTTCTGGGCCAGTCAGTCTCCTTACAAACTTTGGTCGACCATTCATATTTGATCGTGGCCCACTGTTCTTATATTCCCCAAAGAATGTGGTCCTGCATGCATGTACATGCATTATCCAAGCAATTTCATTAACTTTAAATTTATTATATTTGATAAATTTTGACTCAGAGGTCACGAGAACGATAACGTAAATTTAATATCATTGAATTCATTTCAAAATGTACTTGTTCACATACCCTCCGTCCTCGGGCTTGCCTTTCATCCCGATCCATCCCTCCGATTTAATCGCATTGCCGATCTCAGTGTAGGATATGATGACCCTTGAAAAGGGCATCCATCCTCTCCCAAGTAACCCTCCGGTCCCTTTTCCGGTAACTTTGCAGTGTGCAAAAGAGTATCCAGTGTCCTCTGCGCTCGTGTGTCTGGCTTGTGCTGTTATCACTGCCATGTTATCGCCTTCGATCACGTGCAGTTCCGTGTTCTGCAAGCAATCAAGAACCTTGTTAATTAGAGTATACTTTTTTTTTTCTAAATTTATATTGTCACGAGTTCAAATCTTATCATCATTATTGTGTACTAATTATTACATATGCGAGATAGACTTGCCAGTATTGATTGTGTGCACGCACCACATAGAGAGACTTGCCATTGCCAAATATGAAATCAACGGTTCCTTCAATGTAACAATCTTTGAAGAAATGTTTGCCTGAGTTGTCACAAAAGGTGTCTTGGAACCCTTTCATCTTACAATTATAGTACGAAGCCTTGTCCCCGCTCTGGGTCACCGCCACCGCCTGCGCCCCTTGCGATTTTCCATCGGGTCTTGGAGCCGAGTTCTATACACGTAACACACACATACACACACACACACACACACACACACACACAAATTAAAGTTATATATTACTCGTAGTAATTATGGAGTATATATATATATATATATATATATATATATATATATATATATATATATATATATATATATATATCTTTGTTTAAACAATACTCCCTCCGTTCTCAAAAACTCTTCCTCTTTCATTTTTTTTAATTCCAACAAAACACTTCCACTTTCTATTAAAAAACCATTTTTACCCTTGCTTTTTCATACCCTACCTATCACATCATACTTTTTCTCTAATACTCAATCCATCACATCTTACTTTTATCCATCACATCAAGGGCAAAATTGGAAGTCAACTATAATTTAACACTTCCTTATATTTACACAAAGTCAGAATAAGAACACTTTTATAGAACGGAGGGAGTAGAAAATTTTATCAATCACATGTTCATTACTACGTAAACATGACTAAAATGTACTCTATACCATATGTAGCATTTCATATACTACGTACTAAACTAAGATTTTTATTTAATTTATTTATATTTAAATATGACTTATACTCATTCAAAAAATAGGACATAATTTTAAATAATGTCAAAATATGATGCCAAATAACATGTAAGATATCAACACGTACACAATTCTAAAATGCGAGCATTTAACTATGTTAGCACTATTATTATGCTAACACATAATATTGAAAAAATATTACTCCCTCCGTTCTATAAAAGTGTTCCTATTTTGACTTTGTGTAAAAATAAGAAAGTGTTAAATTGTAGTTGACTTCCAATTTTGCCCTTGTTGTGATGGATAAAATTAAGATGTGATGGATTGAGTGTTAGAGAAAAAGTATGATGTGATAGATAGGGTATGAAAAAGTAAGGGTAAAAGTGGTTTTTTAATAGAAAGTGTAAGTGTTTTGTTGGAAGTAAAAAAAATGAAAGAGGAAGAGTTTTTGAGAACGGAGGGAGTATGAGTATAAAATATCAATATACAATGTCAAAATGTGATATTTTTTTAATGCTAACGCTCTTATTTATGATACAAAAGTATAAAAGGTCTTATTTTAAATCAAGTGCAATGCTTAATATAATCTTATTTAAATATATTTCTCTTTTAATTAATTACCCCCCGTCCCTATAAGTCTTTTTAATTTCCTTTCTTTTTTTCCCTTGTCCCAAAACTATTTTTACCCCATTACTTGTTATCTACGTAACACATAATACATTTTTACTAATCATAATCTACCCATCTTATCAAATACTCCCTCCGTCCCCAAATAAACTTCTCTTTTTCCTTAAAAAACTCCTTTTACCTTTTACTTTTTTATACCCTACCTATCACATTATACCTTTTTACTAATAATCACATCTTACTTTTACACATCACATCAAGGGTATTTTTTGAAAGTCAATACAAAAATATTCCTCCCTTAAATCCTCAAAAAGTCAAAAAGGAAAGTTTATTTGGAGACAGAGGGAGTATAATTTTTGAAAGTCAATACAAAAATATTCTTTAAATCAAATAAAAGTAAAAAATGAGAAGGCTTTTAGGGACGAAAATAGTATATTTTTGCCTATATCTTCCAATCTATTACACATTTAAAAGAAGGGTTGTGCTACTCTGGTCCTAATAAGGTTCATATGTTCTAACTCCTAAAAATAATTTTAGTGTTCTAACTGCACCCTCAAAATGAGTAATTTTTGAGATGACCAAAAAATTAAAACATAAGCTTTTTTATGGGACGAAAAGAGAATTATTTTATCAAATAATCAAACAGAAATAGATAGGGATTATTAAAAAGTTTAATGACTCTAAAATATGTGTACCCACCACAATGTCAATATTAACTGCACTGAAGTAATCCGATAAAACGTACAGAGTGGCACTGTACACAGTCCCATCCTTAGCCGCAGTGCTATCAAAAACAATGGTTGGCCTATTCTCAGGGTCGCCGTACAGCGTCACGAACGGCTTCTCCCTCTCGATCTTCACCCTCTCCCTATACGTCCCGCCGGAGACCGAAACGATCACCCGCCGCGCGTTTCCAGCCGGGATGCTGTCGACCGCCCCGGAAATGGTCTCGAAGTCCCCTCCTCCGTGGCGGCTGACCCTGATGCGCGTGGCGTTGGCCTCGGCCCTGGCCAGGGCGGGGTCGAGGCCGTCGTTTCGCGCCTCGAGGGGCAGGACGTTGGCCCTGAACCAACTGTTGACTTGGTCCTTGTTCGGAGGAATCGGGACGGTGTCGTCCGAGGCAACGTTGTTGGGACACAGTATGCAAGAGAGGTGAAGAAGAAGAAGATCGAGAAGGAGAATGTTTGTAGGGGTTATTGTTAAGTTCATGTTGGGTGAATTGCATGTTAGGTAAATAATGCAATGGTTTTTGATTGTTTATATAGTTTGAATGGGTGAGAGTGTGAGACACCAAAAATGCGGAGTGATAGTAATGCAGGTTGAGCTAATTATGGTGTGGACAAGTCAAAGTAATGCATGGAATAAGACGCTTATTTAGGTAATAACTCGTGGCTCACACAATGCAGTTACCAAGGATAATGAAAGCTGCCACTAGAGAAAACTATAAACTAATCACTCCCTACTTTATTATTACAAATATTTGCATTAAATAGCACTAAAACTTTAGTCATTTCTCTAAATAGTACTTAAATTGTTTTATTTCCTAAATACGGAGTAACACTTAAATTACTTTATTCCATAAATAGCACTTAATACTGGCCATAATGTCCATAGGATCACAGAGTTGTGGCGTGAAACATTATGGAGAGCCTTATGGTGGTGTAAGGAGGGCAGTCAGGGCACCACCACCTCCTTCAAGCCCTGATTGCCATAACACAACAGTTGTGACGATGGGGCATTGCCCCTATTAGGAATAATAGATGCATTAGGAAATAGAACGTTATTATTCATTACATTTGTCATTACATTACTTTCTTATTGTATTATTATTATAATTCTTTTCCTACGTAAATTATGACTCTCTCTTGTAATTCTTATATATATATATATATATATATATATATATATATATATATATATATATATATATATATATATATATATATATATGACCAATTACTATCAAATTGTATCGTGAGATCAGAGATTCAGAGCTAAGGTTCTCAAAAATCAAGCCCTTTCTTTTTCGGCCGAGCACATTGCCGGTCTCAGTTCACGGCGGTCGACTGTCCGGTAGCATGGCATCAACGACCGATCTTGACGAGCGTGCGTAACAACCACTGTCCATTATCCTAATCTTTCTGTTCAAAAAAACAAATCGATTATCTCTCTCTCCTAAAAAAATCACGTGCGTCATCGAAGAACGGAAAAGTTACATTTCTTTGTGTTTTTTCTAGAGATCAAAAAGCATGAAAAACGATAGAGAAACAGAGAACGACCTAAAAAGAGAAAAAAAGAAATTCATCGCCCTCACTCCAATCGCCAACACTCTCACTAGAAAAAAACTCAGCAAATGTAATCTCAAGCTAGCTTGTTCATCATGCACTACAAGAATGCATGTTAAAAAGAGACGGTCATTTAGTCTCATAATAGTCTCAAAAGAGAGACAGAATAGAGACTAATTCATCAGTCCCAGTTATTTCGTCTCTTTTCATTCGGGACAGAAATATTCCGTCTCTTTTCATTTGGGACGAAAATGAGACAGCTTTGAAAAGAGACAGAATTCAGTCTCTTATTTGTATAAAGTCAGTCAAGCATATCACTTGGAATTATTCAAAATAGAGACCAAAATCAGTCTCAAAATCTAAATATTAAAAAAAATAAAATTCTATATTTGCTAGGATTAGTGACACAAACTTATTTAAAAATTAATACTCTATTAGCTAGTTCATAACATTTTTTACTTATTTAAGAATAAAATAGCACAACAAAGCAATGATGAAAAAAATGACACCTTCCAAGAATACCTCCTCTCCCCTATCCGGTCTATCCCATACGCACAAGAAACATGAATCATACTGGGTAAATTATATCACACCAATATTTTTTAAGAAAAATTGTCCCTTCTTTATACAAATAATTCTGTAAAAAAAAATACACCCAACACTGAAATTAAAACATGGAAGGAAAAGAGAAAGGGAGTAGCTTCTGCAACACCCTTGGCAACAACACTTCAACATTGAAGATCCGAAATTTCATCATGGAGCTCTTAAGGATTCAATATGAACACAAGATCTAGAATTTTATGATATACCTCTTCAAGATCTGAAAAAAAAGATTGATAGAAACCATAAATTAACATATGAAAATAGAAAAAAGTTTTGGTAGGGGAAACCATAGAAACTTACCTTACTGCAAAAATTGTAGATCTGAAAAGCAAAAAAAAGGCAGATCTAAAAAACCCTAGATTTGTTATAAAAGGTGTTATTGGTTAAAAAGAAAGAATACATTCAAAGAGAAAAATCAACAAAAGAGAAGGATGAAGAAGAGAGAAAATTTTGAATACAGAGAAATAATTGAAAGAACATACCTGGCTTCAAAGAAGAAGACATCTATGGAAGAAACCCAAGCAAGGAGAAAAAGAAGTTACAAAAGATAAGTGAGAGAGAGAGAAAGAAATGTGTGGACGAAGAATACGAGTAAAAATATGAAGAGAAAGATAGAATTGATCTCTCTTTAATGTATTCTGTATTAAATTTTGAGACAAACATTCGTCTCGATTTCTCGACTCTATTCATGAGACAAATGTCGTCCCGGCAAAGAGACGAAAATTGGTCTCTTTTTTACATCTCAGCTTTAGAGACGGAAATCCGTCCCTGCGCTTCGTCTCCATAATTGAGACAAATATCGGTCTCTTTTTTCTGTCTTGTTTTCACTTACATTCTTGTAGTGATGTAACAAAGATCTGGCTCTCTAACTCTAGAGGTTATCCTTATAAAACTGCTTCCACCGACTCAATTTCAGTATCTGTACTCCAAAATATTTTTCGTAACTGATGATCAGCTTGAGGGAGGCATATTAGGAATAATAAATGTATTACTCCCTCAATCTCTTAAACTCTTTCCCTTTTCTTTTTTACTTGTCCCACTAACTCCTTCCTTTATCTTTTAAAAAAACCACTTTTACCCCTTACTTTTTCATATCCTACCTATCACATCATACCTTTTTACTAATAATCTATCCATCACATCTTACTTTTACCCATCACATCAAGGATATTTTTGGAAAGTCAACACCAAAATATCCCTCCCTTAATTTTCCAAAAAGTCAATAAGGAAACGACTTTAAGGGACGGAGGGAGTAGAAAATAAAATATTATTATTCATTACCTTTCTTATCATATTACTTCCTTAATGTATTTTTACTATAATTCTTCTCCTACTTATATAATGACGCCCTCTTGTAAGGGAGAACTCCCTAAATAGAAGTAAAAAATATGAAAATACCATCCATGGCTGCCCGAATATTAAGAGAATATGGAACAAATTGCTAGGCACAAACATAGTGCAGGGGCTTTCAAATCATAACTTTCGAAAATGGATGGATGATCAAATTGCAAGAAAGTTAGAACCCCCTATGTCCATGAGTGGCCAGTGATCTTTCCTACCACATGTTGAGGGGCCTGGAGGTGGCAGAACGATTATGTTTTTATGGACGTGGAGTATGATGTTGAGGAAAAACTCACATAGATTTTTGACCAAAAAGATGATATCTTGAGAGCCTTTCACATTTAGAGTATTAGTAACAATCCACAAGATGAAGAATGCATGATACAAGTGTTGATGATATAAGTGTTGATGGCAAAACCCGGATAATGGCACTTTTTGTTTGAATGTGGATGGGAGTGTTGATGGTACAGGCGCGGGCTGCGGAGGATTGCTTCGAGGACATGATGCCAACTGGATAGGAGACTTTATGTGTTCATGCAATATTAATCATCCAATAGTTGCTAAAGCATGGGCTGTGTTGCAGGGGATAATGTGGGGATGGAAGAAAGGTTTGCAAAAGGTGATTGTCCAATGTGATTCATTAGAGTGTGTTGAATGGATTTATGGTAGACACACTACAAGAGGTCTGATCCGGCACGCGAAGTGATTGAGGCATGTCAGAGTTGGATGAGAAGAGATTGGAATGTTACCATCTGTCATATTCTAAGGGGTGAGAACAAAGTTGCAAATTTTCTTGCCAGAATGGGAAAGAACAAAGCGTTGGTTTGGAGAGATCTAGAGTCCCCACCGAATGGTGCACGTCAATTGCTAGAGGAGGATAAGCTAGGATACTATTGGATTAGTGGTGGTGCAATTTTTTTAAAAGTGGTGAGCTTTGCATTGTTTCTTGGTGAGCTTTCCATTGTCAGTTGGTGAGCTTTGCATTGACAATTGGCGAGCTTTACACTTTGACTGCCCATGACCAATGGCCACCACCGATGACCCCCACTATCGCCGTGGATCGGTGGTTGACTGATGGTTGAATGGTAGTGCTATTTTTTTAACTTTTTTTATTCAAAAAAAAGTGGTGAGCTTTGCATTGTTTCTTGGTGAGCTTTGTATTGGTAATTGGTGAGCTTTCCATTAGCAGTGTTGTGTGTGTTGTGTCATCTGATTGAAGTATGTCATCTCACTGGAGTCAATCCCATATACATATATATATGTATCCTTCAATATTTAATAAGATCAATTATTATCAAATCATATAAGTCATTTCTTTGTGATGGTTGTCACCGTCAAAATTCTTCCTCCCTATTTATTTTTAAAATTTTCAATCAATCAAAATGTAAAACATACTCATTTTAATTTAGATAAATAATTGACATTTTCACTCCATTCTTTAATTATATTCTTTTCAAACCATATAAAACATGCTTTTCTAGACATACCTACCCTTAGAGTACACCAAAAGTTGTACCCTTTACTTACACTAACTGAATGCTAGTGTGAAATATCAAAATATTAGTACATACTTTTGAGATACAATTTGTGGTACATTCTTTGGTATACTTCTCGAATCTCGCATGGTTGTTACATGAAACTTAACATTGACACCCTCTACCAAGCCCGGTCTTAAGAGATGACCTAACATTTTGGAGTATATATATCATACTTTCTGAATGCATGATGTTTCGTGTATATATGCTTGAATACTCATTTTCGAGTAACTGAGTATTCATTTTCAAGTAAGAGAATATTTATTTTCGAGTAACTAAATGCTCATTTACGAGTATAACTAAATTTTAGAAAAATCAGCACTCAGTTGCTCGAAAATAATTATTCAATTACTCAAAAATGATTATTCAATTGTTCTAAAATTAGTACTCCTTATTCAATTGTATACTCCCTACTGTCCCTAGTATATATTGCAAACATTTTGTAAAGAGAAATGCTAGGGGTACCAATTTGGGGTACCCCATTTTGTACACCATGCATTCTAACCCTTTAAAACGAAAGGTCTGGTTGTGCCTTCAAACATAAAAAAAGGTCTCCTGAAAAACAAGATGTCGAAATGGGAAAACTGAAAAAGGCAACATGGAATTCTGCGACGATCTATAACACCCATGGAAAGGCTTCAAGAATTCCGGCAGCTTCACTCGCATGATGGTCGAGTTCTAGGACGTTGAGGCCAGGAGAGTGAATTCAGCGAGTTCTATTCCCAATCCAATCAGACAGTTAGCTCGTATAGAACAGTGAGTGCATTCTATCAAAATTACTAGTATTGATTCATTATTATCTTCTCTGTTATTCCATTTTAGTCTACTGCGAGTTTGGTTTTCTTGATTTTGGATGGTTATAGAGATTTCTGGAGAGAATTTAGCCAGACCCGAATTGTATTGGGGAACCCATTTTTACTGACTGGCTTTTGCCGGCCTGCTACTGAGTAAAAAGTTGAAGTATTTTCCCATCTTTATTGCTTTCTTGATTCCTAATTTAGAAAGGGCTGAGCTTTTGTTTAGACTATCTAAAGATAATTGTGGGTATCTCACTTATTCTGCTTTCCACTCATTATTTTCTTCTTGTGTGGAATTTCAGATATTCTAACAATTGATATAAAGAATTAACCAATTTCGTGTTATTTTCACATTTTTATTGAAATTATTTTGAACTTGGTAAAGATTATGAGGAATTTACTTAAATAGCACTAAAATATAATGACTTTCCCTCAATAGCACCACATGTGTTTTTCTTCCCAATGTAGTACTTTTAGTCATTATTCAAGTAAATGTTTGCCATCACAGGACATTATGGACATTATTAAGTGCTATTTACGGAATAAAACAATTTAAGTACTATTTAAAGAAATGACTTAAGTTTTAGTGTTATTTAGTGCAAATATTTCAAAGATTATTTGGTTAAAAGTATCTGAGTAGTGAGTGCATCTTGGTCTTGGTTTGTACTGACTTACATTTTGAAAGGTGAAGTTTCATTGGGATTCCCGAAGATATATTGGTTAAATTTCTTACCGTGGAGAATACTCATAGAAGGTCGTGTCCCATGAGCATTCAGATGCCTCTCTATGAGTGGCATCTTGTGAAATTCCATGCTCCGAGCTGTGTATGTTTGTGCATTGGGATGTCGGAAGTTTGAGAAATCAAGAGGGAAGAAGAGGGTTGAGAGATGTCATCTAGATCAGGCACAAAGAGGACAAGCTCTGATCGTTCAAGGCATGATGCGCGTGTTGTTTCTCAGACGCTTATTGATGCTAAGCTTCATGGGGACTTTGAGGAGTCTGAGGAAAACTTTGATTATTCAACATCTGTCAATCTATCCAATACTGCCAATTTCCCTTCCTCAACTGTGTCTGCTTATCTCCAGAAGATGCAAAGAGGAAGTCTCATACAACCGTTTGGCTGCTTGATAGCCATTGATAAAAAGAAACTTGCTGTTCTTGGGTTCAGTGAAAATGCAGCAGAAATGCTGGATTTGGCACCATGTGCGGTTCCAAGCATTGAACAGCAGGAAGCACTGACTATCGGCACTGATGTTAGGACTCTCTTTCGTTCAACTGGGGCTGTTGCGCTTGAAAAAGCAGCTAGATTTGAGGAGGTCACGTTGCTCAATCCCATTCTGGTTCACTCCAGAAATTCCGGAAAGCCCTTTTATGCAATTTTACACAGAATCGATGTTGGACTAGTTATAGATTTGGAACCTGTAGATCCAGAAGAACTCCCCGTGACAGCTGCTGGAGCTATGAAATCATATAAACTAGCATCCAAATCCATTTCCAGATTGCAGTCGTTGCCAAGTGGAGATATATCATTGCTGTGTGATGTTCTTGTTAGAGAAATGGCAGATTTGACAGGTTACGACCGCATCATGGTTTATAAATTCCACGAGGATGATCACGGTGAAGTTGTTGCTGAATGCTGCAGCAAGCCTGATCTTGAACCTTATCTTGGACTGCATTACCCTGCAACTGATATACCCCAAGCCTCTAGATTTCTTTTCATGAAAAACAAGTTGAGGATGATATGTGATTGCTTAGCTCCGTCGTTTAAAGTGGTACAAGACAAGATGTTGGTTCAACCTTTAAGCCTGTGCGGGTCCACGTTAAGAGCTCCCCACGGATGCCATGCACAATATATGGCTAATATGGGGTCCATTGCATCTCTAGCAATGTCCGTGATGATCAATGAGAACGGTGATGAGATGGCTTCTGAGGATCAAGAAAATGGAAGAAAACTATGGGGGCTGGTGGTTTGCCATCATTCAAGCCCTAGATTTGTTCCATACCCCTTGAGGCATGCATGTGAGTTCTTGGTTCAAGTTTTCAGTGTTCAGATCAATAAGGAAGTGGAAGTAGCAACCCAACGTCATGAGAAACATATCTTGCGAATCCAAATGGTACTTTGTGACATGCTACTTAGAGATTCTCCCGTGGGGATCGTCACCAAGTCCCCTAATATTATGGACCTTGTCAGATGTGATGGGGCGGCACTTTACTATAGGGACAAGATATGGCTGCTTGGGTCCACCCCTACGGAGCCCCAAATTAGAGACATAGCAAAGTGGCTTCTTGACTCTCATGGAGGTAGTACAGGGCTAAGCACCGATAGCCTCATGGAAGCTGGCTATAATAATGCTTCCACTCTTAGTGACTTAGTCTGTGGAATGGCTGCTGTGAAAATAACTTCAAATGATTTTCTCTTTTGGTTTAGATCTCACACGGCAAAAGCAATTAAGTGGGGCGGTGCAAAACACGATCCAATGGACAAGGATGACGGGAGGAAGATGCATCCAAGATCATCCTTCAAAGCATTCCTGGAGGTGGTTAAGAAGAGTCTGCCTTGGGAAGATGTGGAAATGGATGCGATTCATTCCTTGCAGCTGATATTGAGAGGTTCTTTGCAAGATGATAGGTGTAGAATGATCGTGGATGTATCTACTCCTGCTGCGGACCCCACCAGTATGCAGACGGCTGATGAGCTTCAAATCGTGACAAATGAAATGGTCCGCCTTATTGAGACTGCTTCTATACCCATTTTGGCTGTAGATGCTTCGGGTTGTATCAATGGGTGGAACAGCAAAGTGTCTGAGCTAACTGGTTTGGCTCTAGGACAAGCTATGGGTTTGCCCTTAGTTGATTTGGTTCTCACAGAAGCTGTTGGCACCATTACAAGTGCTCTTTCACTTGCTTTGCAAGGTTGTTATAATCCCATCTTGTTTCTTCTTAGATTTGTTCAAGTTTTTGAAGTTTGAAATAGTTTATGTACTACATTTGGAAATAATCAATTACAGCTATATTTTAAATTCAGAAGGGTAACAACTATGTTTAAAATCCTGTTTTTGAACTACTTCATACTTCTTTTTAAAAAATCTATATACATTAATTATAATGAAAATAAGCCTCTTTTTGTTGTGATAAGACTATTTTGGGACAAAATAAGTTCTCAAATAATTTTTTTGTTGGGTTCGGGTGGAATGGATAGGTGAAGGGAGTAAGTATGCATTCCTGTACTGATCTGCAATGACGACATTGAATGTCAGGCGAAGAGGAGAAAAATGTTGAAATCAAACTAAAAAAGTTTGATTCTAAAGAAAACGAAGATCATGTTGTTCTGGTAGCAAATGCATGTTCGAGCCGGGACACGAAAGGAGACATTGTCGGAATTTGTTTTGTAGGACAAGACGTTACTGGAAAAGAGTTGATTATGGACAAATATAACCGTATACAAGGAGATTATGCGGGGATCTTGCATAGCCCTTCTGCATTAATTCCTCCCATCTTCATGATGGACGAGCATGGTCGATGTTTGGAATGGAACGATGCAATGCAGAAGTTGACTGGTTTGAAGAGGGATGAGGCCATTGGTCATATGATTCTGGGTGAAGTCTTCACAGTAAGCAGCTTTGGTTGCAAGGTCAAAGACAATGACACACTGACCAAACTCATGATATTATTGAATGGAGTACTGGCAGGGCAGGATTTACAGGAGCTGATCTTTGGGTTTTTTGATAAGAAGAATAAATATGTTGAAGCGTTAATCTCGGCAAACAAAAGAGCTGAAATGGCAGGGAGGGTTAGTGGGGTCCTGTGTTTTTTACACGTCCCCAGCCCAGAACTTCAGCATGCAATACATGTTCAAAAACTATCTGAACAAGCAGCTGCAAATAGCCTAAAAAACTTGGCTTACATTCGGCATGGAATCAGAAACCCGTTGAATGGTATAAAATATGTTCAGGATTCGATGAAATCTTCCAACTTAAGCAAGGATCAGTCGCTGCTTCTGGAGACCAGTGTGTCTTGCCAAGAACAACTGGCCAAGATCCTTGATGATACCGATATTGAAAGTATCGAGGAATGGTAATCATAATCCGACTTACACCATTTTATAAAAGTTGTTGTTTTGCGATGTTTAGTAGCAACTTTTCATTGACTTTCTTCTGTCTCTACTGTTCACCAGCTACATGGAAATGAACTGTATCAAGTTTTGTCTTGGTGACACGATAAAAGCTGTGGTGAACCAAGCTATGATTCCAAGTGTGGAGTGGCAGGTGGAGGTCGAGTGTGATTTCCCCTTTGACCCATCGTCTTTGTTCTTGTTTGGAGACAATTTGAGGGTTCAACAAGTGCTCTCCGACTTCTTGACAGCCGCTCTACTCTTCACACCCCATTTTGAAGATTCGTCCGTTCTGTTCAGCGTTATTCCCAGAAGGGAGTCCCTAGGAGCAAAAATTCATCTACTGCATCTTGAGTTTCGGTAAGTGTACTATTTTCGCTTGAATAGTATGTTCTTAGGCACAACACATTTCGTTCCTAGACCATATCTTCCTTAAAACTCGGTGTCGTGTTCGGTTTTCTGCTATTCATTCATGCCCTAAATGCAGGATCACACACCCGGCCCCGGGGATTCCAGAGGAGCTAATCCAGGAGATGTTCAAGAGGAACAGAAACATGTCGAGGGAAGGTCTTGGTTTGTATATAAGCCATAAACTTGTTAAGATTATGAATGGCACTGTACAGTATGTTCGCGAGACCGAGAGGTCTTCCTTCATAATCTTTGTAGAATTTCCAGTAGCATGAGCCACCTGATATATTAAACAAAACTTGTAGTATCAATATATATGGAGAGAAGCACAAATAATGGTTATTATGATTGTCATCTATTTCTGGTGCACCTTTACTGAGAACTACTGAGTATTGTACTCAGAATAAAGACATGAATAATTCATACTCCGTATATCCTTGCTTATCTTTACACACACATTCATGCTCTCCATTCCTCTAAATACTCTAATGGCCTTTTCCAGTTTTCTTGATTTACAGAATTCTTCTTCAATAACCATAGATATTCAGAGTATACACATTGGGCCAAATCTTAGACCTCTGCATTTCCCTGTACAGCCACAAAGCAATATCTGCCATGTTTGTAATTAGTTACTCCCACTTTTTCACAAAAAAATTGTTTTTCCTTTTCGAAAATACTATGCAATTTATTTTGTGCTATCGACTCAATTACAATGTAGTTTGTGTTCATACTTTTGTCATTCTAATGAGTCAATGCCTCTGTCTGCACTAGAACTCAATCCTGAGTGAAATCTAGGAGAGTGGTCTTCCTACCACTCAAGTCAAGGGAGAAATTAAGATTTTGAATAATTTTTTTACTAGCATAGATTAGGATTTTTCAAATGACAATCATATTTGGAACAATAGAAATACTCTGGTACTAATTTTTATTCAATAAGTACCCTCTTTTTACTATTCAATAATTTTGCATTTTAATCATCTTAATATGATAAATTCTACTATCATATAGCTATAGGTAGGGGATTAGGTACAACTGGTACAACAATAATAATATGTCCAATGGTGGGGCTCTATTGAATCTCAAAATATATATTCTCTCTCTTGCCAACTCAAAAAAGTAGGGATTGAGAAATATTTACTCCAATGCTTGATCCCAAGTCCCAACTTTTATTGAACTAGAAAAAATTCCGAGATAGAGAAGAATTAATGGACTGTATTCGGCAGAGGGAAAAATGCAGTCACTAATTGCGTTTTTCCCTAAATATATTTTGCTCAAAGGAAGTCACCGACTTCCTTTGAAATTACTTTTTGTCAGGCGCACACTCTCCCCCCACATACTCCGTGAATAATTTTTCTCTCAAAGGAAGTCAGCAACCCTGAACATATTTTGCTTAAAGGAAGTTGCCGACTTCCTTTGAAATTACTTTTTGTCTGGCCTTGAATAATATTTTCTCAAAGGAAGTCAACAACTTCTTTTCTAATCGGTCCACTTTCTCATGTTTTACTCTTTTTTTGTTTTAAGTTAATTTCTACTTTTCAAAATAAAAAGTTAATTTATAGTAATTTTTTAGAATTGATTTAATTGAAAAATAATTAAAATAAGAACTCATATGATGATATAATTAATTTGACATAAAAAAATTAAAACAACAAAGTTACATTCATAACATAAATAAGATTTGTTTAATAAAAGTCAAAAAAAAATAAAAAAGATAATCTAAAAGAACAAAGGATTTGTAAACCAACACATAGAAATATGAAAATTCAATTTTGATGCCTGGAAATGCTGTCCATCTCTCACAAGAATCAATTTCGCTGTCGATGATCAGACCCAGAAATTTCTTCAGCGAGCCTAACTGGAGGTAGAATTCGTAAATTCTCGTAAACTAATTGTTGTGGGAAAAGCACGGGGTTGATTTGTACATTGTAACATCTCATATATTGTTCAACTGAATACATTGAAGAGATTTCGTCGTTAGCCAACCGTCGAAAAGAATGATACAGTTTGTGAAAGACATTCCTAGCAGCCCGTTTGTCATTGCTAAGAAAAAAGATAATTAGTATGATAAAACTAGTCACTGCTTCGTTATACATGATACATCAATGAGTGATTTAAGTAATTTTATTTCGATAATATAGGAATTAGATAACTAATCGTAGATGTCCCATTGAAAAAATGGATAAATAAGTGTTAGAGTGTCATCCCACATCGGAAGTTTAAAAGCAAAATAATCGGTATATAAGCTCTTGAGTTGAACTGACTAATTGATTGGATTCAATCTTTTAATGTTGTTCAATTCAAGTGTCTTATTACTCAATCCAGTGATCCCTACCCCATCCTAAATTCTATCATGGTATCGGAGCAGGTTTTGGCTCACCTCGTTCGTCAAGGTGCACGTCTAGACGTTCATTCCCAGCGGCCCGTTTGTCATTAGCCCTCGATGCCTGGTTCATCCACCTGGATTTGGTGAATAACAATTGTACATATATTAAGCACTCATGTGTAAATATTTAGTGATCAATAAAATACTACTTTCGTCCTAGAGTATTTGTTCAGTTTGATTTGAACTTTGATGCTCAATTAAATAAAAACTTTTATGTATGTTACTACCAAAAATAATTTTATTAGATTTAAATGGTTTAGAACTTTAAAAATTTTTTTTGCATTTATATGTAATATAATTTGAGAGTAATTGATGATTAAATTTTATCATGTTTGACTTGAAAAATCAAACTAGACAAATACTCTGAAACGAAGAGTATATCTATTAAGTATTTCATGAGTTTCTTCTTTGACTTGATTGGCAAGATTTTTTTGGACTTGGCTTACTAGGCATCATTAAATTAAGATAAAAAAAATAGACATAGTAATAGAGTTGATAATAATAAAAAAATACAAGTACTCCCCATTTGTTAAGATCATCTCCAATTATTCACACCAAACTCAGACTCAAAATTCATTAAATCCCTCCAATTATTCACACCAAACTCAGACTCAAAATTCACTAAATCCAAAATTTACAGTAATTTATCTCTAATTCATTACACCAAAATCAAAATAATACAGTATTTCACAATGTATTCTTTTTCTTATTACTATTTACATTTTAAAAATACTAGAGAGTAATAAAGATATGAAAGATATACAACTCAAAAATTGAATATATGAAGAGTGGGGTTCCTTTGAGTATATGAAAATTCTCTAAGGCATGAAGATGAAGTCATACAGTATATCTATGCGCCATTATAGTGTAGAACAATTTTGGAGTAAATTGTAAAAAAAAAATGTTTACCGCACAAAGTTTCTCCACAAACCTAAATTTAGTATTCACCTTCATCTACGAGTATGACATTTTTATTTTTATTTATTTTTAATTGCTAACAACAATTTTGTTTGAAGGAACTTACAACAATTATGATAATTCTGCAATTTTAGTTTCGGAGTTATCGTTGACCCAATCGGCGTTTCCGACGGAACCTCTCGTCGTTCCGCCGCCGTCAACTGCCGGAACAGTAATTCTGAAACTCGTACAGTTGTTATTATTATCATGATTAAATATTATTATTATTTTTTAATTTTTTTTACGGAGTAGTTTTTTTATTTTTTTATTATTTTTTTGTATTTATTACTGTAAGCACTTTTCATTTTAGGGTAAACATTTTTTTCGTATTTATAAAATCTATAATTTACTTTTTTATCAGATGGGTTTACTTTTTAAGATGTACCCTAACCTAAATGGCTCCTAAGTCTCGATCTAGATCTGGATATCTGCGGCAAAGTTGTGTATAATCGGAGATGATGCATTCGGGTCGGGTTCTGTACTAAATCTACTATCCTTCTTGCCTCAGTGAGTAGCTTTTTTAGGTCATTTGGCAGTCTGATGCTCCAATGTTTGATATTTTCTCAGTGATGCTTTAAAAATATATATTATGCTTAATCTTTGAAGTGTCTAGCTTGGGTTTTAGTGTGAATGTGGGTAATTAAGGTGGTGTGATTATTTTATTTGATTCTGTTGAGTTGAATTTCAAGCAGAGGTTGAAATTTCTCTGACTTGACTTTGAATTTCCAGCAAAATTTGGTGGTTCTGCTTTTAACTGGTTTTCATAGATGTGGGTTTTCATTAACCCACTTTTTGAACTTTCATTTTGAGCTGTTTTGTGTTAATGTTTGTATGAATCTTGGGTTGTGGGTCTTTTGGTTATATTCTTGAAGTGCAAAATGAGAAGAAAATGCTAAGAAGTACTTAATTTGCATAGATCAGACTTGAATGTGGAACATGACTTAGAAGTGAGGGTCATTATCTCTACTTTCTGATCTTATTTTATCTCTTCAGAGTAATGAATTTATGTTTTCTTTTTCCCTGTATGTTTGGGACCTAGAAAATGTCAGGCAAAGAAACATGAAATACCACGTATGATTTTTTTTTGTTTTATATTTTTGCGTATGATGTATTGATTTAAGTCTTTCATGCCATATAAATAAAATAGTTTGTGCAGATGTCTAAAATAATGTTATTAAAGTTTGGGTCATCTTTTATTTTCTACCAACGATAGCTCCTTTTTTATTTCTTCTCTATTCTCCTCTTTAGAGAAATTAACGTCAAAGTAAGGTATCGTTAGTTTATACGTTTGGTGTTGGATTGCAGAAGAATAACATTAGGATTGGGTGCAACGGCTTCCCTTGCCGGGCTGCTGATAAGCTACACATATATCTTTCTGGGGATTCACTGTAAATATTGGCATTTCATAGATGGAAGTGCACATAGGTGAAGCTCTAAAAGCTAAGGAAATTGCTGAGAGGAAATTTGCAGAGAAAGACTTTGTGGGTGCAAAGAATTATGCTTTAAAAGCTCAAAAGATGTGCCCTGATCTAGAGGGCATAGCTCAAATGGTGTTAACTTTTGGAGTTCACAGTGCTGCTCAGATGAAAATCAATGGAGAGGTTGATTTATATGCAGTCCTAGGACTAGACTCATCCGCGGATAAATCCAGTGTAAAGAAACAGTATAAAAAGATGGCCGTTATGCTTCACCCTGACAAGAACAAAACTGTTGGAGCTGACAGTGCATTTAAGCTTGTTTCTGAGGCACGAGCCGTACTATCTGACAATGCTAGAAGAATGTCTTATGATTACAAGAGAAATACGAACTGCCTTAACAAACTTGATACGTTTTGGACTGTGTGTTCCAACTGTGACGTTCAGTATGAGTATTTTAGGAAGTATGAAAACAAGAAACTTTCTTGTAAGAATTGCCGTGCAGTTTTTACTGCTTATGAAACAGGATTGGGCCCAGCTGATAGTGTCTATCCGTACTACTCTTGGGCCAGTAAACGTGAGAATGGACACAATTTCGGACATGGATCCGGCTATGCTTCAAATTTGTCGTTTCAGTGGGTCCCCGGAAACTCCTTTGGAGTCACAGTTCCCCAAAGGGAGAAAATGAAGGGCACTGAACAAAGAGATCACTTGAAACAGGGGGCCAGGCGTGGTAGGCCTCCAAAGATAAGGAAAGTTGAATTTGAAGGAAATCACATTAACAATATCCATAATTGTAACAGATCTTCTCAGACTGCTGCTATGGAAGTCGGAATTGCTAATGGGAATACAAATCCGAAGCATTCCAAGTTTTGCTCTGGGTTTGAGGCTGCTTCCAAGCGCTCCATTGCCCCCGCTTTTGATTCAAGACAGTTACTGATTGACAAGGCCAGAACAGTAATTCATAAGAAGCTGGAAGTGATGAAGGTGGTAGAGGAGAAGAAGAAACCCCTTGGTGAATGTGGTGAGGATTCCAATAAAAGACCCAAAAGACCTCAATCACAGCTTAGGAGAACGGGATCAATGACAATAACAGTCCCCGACTCGGATTTCCATGATTTTGACAAAGACAAAACAGAGGAAAGTTTCAAACCAAGGCAAATATGGGCTCTGTATGACGAAGAAGATGGAATGCCACGTTTGTATTGTCTGGTCAGGCAAGTCCTCTCTCTAAATCCATTCAAGATTCACATCAGCTACTTAAGCTCGAAATCTGACAGTGAATTTGGGACAGTGAATTGGTTGATCTCCGGTTTCACCAAATCATGTGGACACTTTAGGGCATTTAACTCAGAAATTGTTGACCAGGTCAACCTTTTTTCTCATCTTCTAAGTGGGGAGAAGGCAGGTAGGGGAGGGTGTGTTAGAATCTTTCCCAAGCGTGGGGATGTATGGGCAGTGTACAGAAACTGGTCGCCGGATTGGAACAGAACAACCCCGGACGAAGTTAGGCACCAGTATGAGATGGTGGAAGTGCTTGATGACTACTCTGAAGAAACCGGCGTGTCTGTTGCTCCTTTACTCAAAGTGGACGGATATAAGACGGTTTATAAAAGGAACAGTGACAAAGATGCCATCCGTTGGATACAAAGAAGAGAGATGTTGTGTTTTTCACATATGGTTCCATCTTTTTTCCTGAAAGGGGACGAAGGTGGGACCCCCACCAAGCCGATGCCAGAGGGTTGCTGGGATCTTGATCCAGCTGCCATCCCCGATGTTCTTCAATCAGCAAACGAACACGAACTCCCTGAGAGTAAAATGGATTTATGCCCTGAAACAGAGCTTTGTGGACCAATGAACTCTGCAATGCCAGATATGTCACAAGGTATCTCGGACCAAAAAGTAATAGTAGAAGAAGAAGACCGATTCAGACCAGCCAATGAGGTTGCTTGGTTCATGACGGATGTGCATAATAGAGAGAAACATTGTCAAACGGATCATATGAGCTCTACTCCATGCCCTGGGGAGCATCTCCGTGCTGTAACAAACGCGTAGGCCGAAAGCAAGCAAAGGTGAAGGTTGAGAAAACAGATGATTGGCATCATTTCATCGTCTTATTATTGTTGTTGTTGTTGTTATTATTATTATTATTATTATTATTATTATTATTTATTCTAACACAATTGGGATGAAAGGTGTACAGATTTGAAGTTGAAACACACACATCTGTGACTCTGTGAGGATCACAAGTGATCCGTGTAGCACAATGGCCTCCCTGCTGTTTGAGGTTGCTCTGTATCCTGTTTTTTTGTTTGTTTTTTTATTGCAACTTTGTACATAATTATAATTATAATTATCTTTTTCTCTTCAAACAAACATCAGCTATTATCAAGAGTGATGTATTGTTTCTTTTTTTCCTGGTTAGACTAAGGCCCCGTTTGGCATCAGCGTTAGAGATGAACGTTAGCGTTTTTAAAAGGTTATTTGACGGTAGCTTTTAGTGTTAGCGTTTTCCCAATTAATCTACACCGTTAATATTTTATCCAAAATATTGACGCTAATTGAAAACGCTATTCCCAAACAAGGCCTAAACTTTGGTCTTTCGGTTCAAAACACGATGAATTATCATTGTAACCTTACCCTTGATGCACGCCTACAGTATCACCTAACATTTTCCATGTTAAAACGAGAAAAAATTGTCTATTGTTGCATTTACGGTCTATCACTGTAAAGAAAATTTGAGTAAGAACTAAGAATCAATGGAATGTTTAATGTGTATTTTTAATTTAGTTCATTATTCAACCGAAGGTGGTCAAAATATTATTCCCTCCGTCCCGTTTTAAATCGTCTGTTTTGACTTTTGGGTATATTTAAGAAAAAGAAAAAATAGAATTGATTTTTCGAAATTGTCATTACCTTTTAGAAGGGGTGACTATGAATAAAAAGATAAGGTAAAAAAGGGTGACTTATTTTAGGGGTAGTTTAGGTATTCTATTTTCAAAAGTTTACAATAACAACTAACAGACAACTTATTTTGGGACGGAAAAAAAGGCAAACATGCTATTTAAATTGGGACAGAGGGAGTAGAATATCAATTAAATAATTTCAATGATTTGTCTTCTCAANGGGGATGAACAAATATTATTCTTGACATGTGAAAATTTTCCTTGTGATAACCCTAAACTTTTATTAACAATTTGGAAAAGAGGTGTGAATGTCAACAGAAGATAATTACTATGACTTTCATCTTAATATCATTTGAAAAACCTAGCGAAATGCGAGTAAACTAAACTAGTATCACATCTCTGCATTGCACGATTTGTATTTATGTTATTAAATTATATTGAGATTATTATTGAAGAATACAAATTGGTAAATGATGCAATATAGAGTTTTCATTATTTTAAAGTACGAAAATTAAATGATTTACAAATTTCAAAAGACTTTTTTTATAAAATACATTACTGGTATAATCCGTGGGAACATCTTCATTAGTTCGTTGTATATCAAAATCTTCAAGCTTTCATAATAACAATTACTGTTACAATTTGTTATTCTTGAAACAGTAACATGTAGTTGCCCATGACTAAATACAAGCTTTCGTAACAATAATCTAACATGTTTTAGAGATTGGCAATGACTTTTGTTAATCGTCATTGCATTTGAAGTAAACACAAGGAATTGTCTTCTTTGAAACCTTAAATGGAATTCTTGTATCAAATTGAATCGATGAGTCTTTGAATAAATGCTTCGCCCATGTCACTTCCAGATAATATCTTTCCTTGTATTGAGTGATTAGCGAACCGAGTTACTATCAATCGTGTACTATCACATAAACCCAATTAATGGTCAATGTTTCTCAACAACATAATATACATATCTACCTTCAAAGTTGGCTCATGATTTGGTACTCCGGAAGCACGATTCTTATTTAAGAACTCGGGAGAGTGTAAGTCACTCAAAAAAATTGAATTAGAATCTGAGTTCTCGACCTTGTTCAAATTAAGAAATGTTCGAGATTCGCTACAGGGATTCATCACTGTAATAAATAATCTAGAATATTTACTTTCAAATTTATAAAATTATATTAATAGTATTTAGCATTAAATTATCACTGCATAAAATATAAATTATTTTTTTTCCATAACTAATGTGTTTTTAGTTTGGGAATAGATCGATTTGAGAAAACATCAGTAAGAAAGTACCATTTTAAAAAAGTAGTATAAAGTTTGACGTCCTTTTAACGGCCGTTAGACAGAAGGACTAAACTGGGCATTGATCTCAATTAACGAGTATCATTTCGAGAAATAGTTAATCATAAGGACTAATTTTAGAAAATATATAATCATTGAGTACCATTTTGAGAATTACTCTAATAAAAATGTAACATATCCTTCACAGGGATGAACATATATTATTTTTGACATAAGAAAATTTTCGTTGTGATAACCCTAAACTTTTATTAACAAGCTAGAAAAGAGTTGTGAATGTCAACAAAAGATAATTAGTATGACTTTTATTCTAATATAAATTGAAAAATCTAGCTAAATACGAGTTTGACTCTCAACTTAAATTTGTTTGAAAACCTAACAATATGATAATAAGTAAAACTAATTTTTTTATAAGTTATTGACTTGATTATATTTTTCATACTATTCTTAACCTAATGATACACAATGAGCTAATGCTTCTGCCTCCGTTGAAGTTTGAATCTGAGTGAACTTTCTCAATAATCTTTGACCGTGTGTTTCCTACTCAAGAGAAAACTTCGTAAAACTAAAGCTTTTATATTCCGTATCAATTACTTCATACATTCTTAAATGGATTGCAAATTGTACTATTCAAAACTTATGAATTTTTTTGTTTATTACAGAGTACTTAATTATGAAGTATATTATCCTTCTCACTTCTTGTTTTGTAGAATGTTTGATTGTCTTTAAAAGTATAAATTTCAATTTTTATTTCTATATTAATTAAAAAAATTTAAAATTTTTCTTCCTTTTGACTTTTATGCAATTCATTTAGAAACAATAGGAGTATATTGTTTTTTTTCAGTACATTACTAGCTCAAAATGTTGATTTAAAAAGATTTTATGGTGAACCTAAGGTCTACATTGACATTCTCACTTATTTTTTTAAATTTTAAAAATACCTATTTCAACATTTAAAAATACTTATTTAGTATATATTGAAATCCACCACAGAGATTAGGTAATAATTTGTAGCTGATTTAACCAAACCATTAGTTCTACAAACATTTTCCCTCTCACTACTCAAAAATGTTTGTTTGGCTCAAAATGTTGAACATTTTTTAAACAAGCGAAGATGGACTAGCAAACGACGTCGTAGCTTTGGGGGTAGGAAGGGGTTAGCCTGAATCACAAAATGATAAGGCGACGAGCCTGGAAAATACAGGGCGAGAAAAGGGAGAAGAATCCATTGAAGGGGAAGAATTTCTGGGCAATGAGTCCTTATTTGTGGCACAAAATCGCTGCAATTTCTGGTACCCCCCACACTTTTACAGTACTCTGAACTAAAAAGCTCTTCGTTTTGCTCTAATTTCTTGCAGAAAATTTGAACTGTTATCTTCTTGTCATCATCGCAACTTGTTAAAGATCCTTGTTTCATCATTCATTTTGGCATGAAAAAGAAAAACCCTGAAACATGAATCGATGAATAATAACAGGTGTAGCCGCTCTTGGATTGGGCACTTATGGTGCCCACGGATTCAAGCCCAAGAACCCTACCTACAAAGAGTTAGCTAGTACTACTAATCCAAATCTTCATTTCATGGTCACTTTTTTTTTTCTATTTAGCAATAGATATGGGAAAATAGCAGTAATTTATTTGTTTGTTTGTTTGTTTGCTTTCATTTGAAATTCAATGGTTATATGGAAGGTGTGGCAAACAGCCTCACTCTACCATCTGGTTCACACAGCAGCCCTAGTTGCTTCTCCCATTACCAAACGCCCACACATTGTGAGTTCAATTTCCCCTCTTTGCTCTTTTCAAAGGGTTTATTAGATGCTTGTCTTGGCCTTGGATATATATAGGGTATTTATTTCCAATTTTTATGGTTGGTTTGTAGTTTGGAGGGCTTTTAACTGCTGGGATTGTTGCATTTTCCGGAACGTAAGTGACTTCTGTTTCCTTGGCTCCTGCTTACTCTTTGAGTGTGTTAAATGACTTCAGAAAGAAGTCTTATATAAAAACCGTGCTAAAACTAGCTTTACTAACATGACGAGCTCTTTTTATGACAAAAAGAAATAATAGCCATTTAATTTTTAGAATTTGTTGTGAAATTTGTATGGACGTCTAGTCTTGTCTATTTTTGAATTTCAGTAATTGTTTGGGTTTCAATCCGTCTTTCATTTGAGTTTGTTGCAAAATAAAACAATGAAATCCATAAGATTAACTGTTGCAGGTGTTATACAGTTGCATATCTTGAGGACCGAAAGTATTCAAAGTTAGCACCGTTGGGTGGTTTTGCATTCATTGCTGCTTGGGGCAGTTTGTTGTTTTAGAATCCCCAGATTTGTGATTCTTTCTGCCCGTTCTTTCCCTATGTAATTCAAAGTGTCTTTGTTGCAACCCTCCTGAACTCCTATGCATAGTGATATTCATCTGCTTTAATTTAAATACAGAGTATTAATTTGACTAATTCTCATACTGCAATTTGCATTGCTTGATATGGTAAGTGGCTGTTCCATTCTTTGGGTAATCTTGTTGGCCACGAGAGCCCACATGATCAACTCTCAAGTGAGTTGAAGACATTCGTGACCAAGGAGAATCCTTGACCATGCAAAGTGCAAACCCGTACAAGTTTGACAGTTTTCGCCCTATATTTTTGTAAAGTATTCAAACTAGATTTTCATAATCATGTAGTAAAATATTAGTAGTAGAATAAAGAAAATGACACCTAATACTCCATTCCTCACGAAATAAGCTTCATATGTGACTCTAGATACTTCACGGAGTTTAAAAGAAGTGTTGTAAACTACATTTTGGGTCGTGGAGGGAGTATATTTTGTTTTTTTTCCTTCAAATTTTGGGCCATGTTCCACAAGTCAGAACTCATTTATCTGTTCCACAAGTATGAAATACTCCTTCCGTCGTGAAATGAAGTTTACGTACCTTGTTGTGTCTTGCATGGTGCCCTTTGAATTCCACAGTTCAGGCATTGCCCTACAAAATGTTATCCAACATATAAAACCCACGATTACTTGGCGCAAGATAATGTGGACAAAATAGTCTGCAAGGGGACGGAAAGGGTGGAACAACACAAGCTTCTTAGGAAGTGGAACTCTAGGTGTAGAATGGTCGGGTTTACTTCATACCCATTGAGCTCTTTGGTGAACAACACAATCGAGAGACGGTTGGAGAACTGTTATGACGGATATAGGCTTGAACAAAATGTGTCATCTACTTATAAGTTTTGTCGTAATGTGTAGTTACTATTTTAGTCCACATGTAGGATAATAAAGTGAATAGGTGAAGCTTTTCATGGATTACAAATTTACAATATAGTAGCCAAACTTCTAATGTGGTAATATAGAAAGAACTGTTTCATTAAATTTTGGCATCATTGAGAAGTTTCACAACTTGAAGCATTGTAGGCCGCTTCGAGGGTTCATCACATGTACAAGACCGGGAGATGCGAAGAACACACAGCATCTGGTTCTTCAATGAAATTGAAGAGCCCAGGAAGCACGGGTCTAAAATCTCGCTTTCCTTTCCTTTTTTCTCCATCCACCTAACCCAACCAACTAGGTTACCGCCTTCGCCATCTGCCTGCCCTATCGGTGCACGCCCTGTTACTAGCTCAAGCATCACCACCCCAAAACTGTAGATGTCTCCCTTTGTTGTAGCCACCATTGCTTGCCCATATTCTGGTGGTATGTAGCCGAATGTGCCTGCTAACATTGTGCTGACATGTGTCTCACATGCACTTATGATCCTCGCTAGCCCAAAATCAGAAACTCGAGCGTCCATGTTCTTATCCAGCAGTATGTTGCTGGATTTGATGTCTCTATGTATAATGTGAGGGATAAATCCATGGTGAAGAAAGGCTAGACCACGAGCTGAACCGAGACAAATTTTGAACCTGGTTGGCCAGCATAGCACCCTGGTTGTAGAAGTGCTATTACTAAGCCAAGCTTCTAAGCTTCCATTCTCCATGTACTCGTAAACCAAGAATCTCTCATCTTCAAGTGCGCAATACCCGACCAAGGGTACTAGATTTTCATGTTTTACCTGTTATTCCCTCAAACATCAATAAAATATAAAAAATTGATCAGCATATATATGTAGGGTACTAAGGTTTCTTTTCCTTTCTAATCATGTTGATCTTCTTAGGACCTTTAATAAGACATTATATTACAAAATATGTTAAACCATCACACATTGATAAATCAAAATCTATTAGGATACTAAATTATGTGGTTGAATGTTTAGAATGGACTCTTAAGTCTTAATATTACCTTTCCAAGTGTTTCCATTTCAGCAAAGAATTCGCGATCTCCAGACATGTTGCAGCTTGCATAAAGTCTCTTGACAGCGATTTCCCGTCCGCGTGGTAGTTTTCCCTTGTATACTGTTCCAAAGCCCCCATTTCCAATGATACAATTTGTGCTAAAATTTTCCGTTGCTGATAAAATACTTGTGTGATCGAGCCTCAGTAGAGTGTGTTCAAATGCAGCGATGTTGATGCTTAGAGGCTCCCTTGCCTTCCTTAATTGAAATTGATCATCACTGCGAGGGTCATTTATTTTCACATGCTTAGTGCTCGTCTTAGTATCTCTAGATACGAGTTCTGCTTCTTGCTTCAGAATTTTTCGAGTTAGGATTGCAATTAACACAACAAAGCAAATGAGAGATGTTCCGAGAACAATTCCAAAAAGAGAGGGATGCAGTAAAGAAGTAAGAAGCACATTGCCACCCTTAGGTTTGAGATATGGAGGTCCTTCGTGCGAAGAACAATACTGGCTAGAGTTTCGGCAGCTTACGGGAACTTCATCTATGAATTTGTTGGTCGAGAAATTTGTGAAAATAATGGTCGATATGTTACATACGCTACATGGAAAAGAACCTTGGAAGTCGTTGTTGGAAATGTCCAAATATGTCAATGCATCAAGGATGGAAAGAGAATTTGGAAATGTTCCAGTGATGGAGTTGTTGTGTAAATCTAATGAGGAAAGAGACACAAGATTGGAGATAGATGCATCTAGGGTGCCATTGAACTTGTTGTTGCTGGCATTCAGAGATAATAATGAGCTTGCATGTCTGGTATCAAATGAGAGTGAGCCCGATAAGCTGTTCATGCTAACATCCAGGTGCGTTAAGCTTTCCATGCTATAAATAGATGGTGGGAGGGATCCACTCAACATATTATCTGATATGTCTAACATGAATATGCTCATATTTTTTGATTTGAAGTTTTCAGGAACCGATCCCCAAATCTTGTTGTGGGAGACGTTCATCCCTTGAAGATTCTTCATTAAAAACAACTGAGGGATCAGAGGACCTGTTAAGGAATTGAAAGATAAATCCATGTTCGTTAGACTTTCCAGGCTAGAGATTTCAGATGGAATGGTGCCAGATAACTTGTTTTTTTGCAGGAATAATTCTCTGATGACAATGCATTGTTGAATCGATGCAGGAATGGATCCGGAGAATTCATTGTTGGAAAGATCAAGCATGCCGTAGTGCTGGACGAATTCAGATTCCGGTAATGGGATTTGTTGAAATCCAGCAGCACACAGTTCTTTCGGTATGGGTCCCGAGAATCGGTTGTTGGAGAGAAACAAGGTGACAAGGTTCTCCAATTTAGCTATACACTTTGGAATCTCACCTGAAAAATTATTTGCACTTAGGTCCAAAGACACCATCTTTGTGCAATTGAATAGCTCCAACGGAATCTCTCCTTTTAACTTGTTTCCGCGTAAAGAAAGGTTTGTCAAATTTTTAAAATTCCCAAAAGTACTTGGAATGCTTCCAACGAAAAGGTTGTAATCAAGCTGTAAGACCCGCAACGGTGTAAGTGTAGAAATATTCATAGATAGAGGTCCTTTGAGAAAGTTGTTGCTGAGAGAGAGCTCCATTAGTGTGTTTGAGTACCATATTTGGTCTGGAATGGTTCCAAAAAGCCTGTTTTTTGATAGTTCTAATGTAACCAACGGAAGTTCCGCTAGGAACGCAGGGACCTCACCAGAAATATCATTTTTAGACAGATCCAAGTTTTTGAGACTTGTACAGTTTCTGAATGTACTCTCAATCCTACCGCTGAAATAGTTACCTGATAACCAAAGGGTCTTCAGGGATTTGGCATTACATATTTCTGCAGGTAAGTTGCCTGAGATTTCATTGGCTCTCAAGTCAAAGAAAGATACACGAGGAAGATAAATTCGAGGAACAGCTCCAAAAAGGTAATTATTTGATAACGTTATAGATTCTGCGCGCGTCCAGTTTGAAATCCAGGCCGGCAAAGGGCCTGATATATGATTCTCGTCGAGTTCAAACGAGCGTAAAGATTCAATCTTTGCAAGGCTAGCAGGCAAGGGACCAAACAGCGAGTTGAATGACAGGTTTATGATCTTCAACTTTGTGCAGTTTCCTAATTCAGAAGGAATCATTCCAGTAACCCCTGCATTCGGCATGATGAGATATACAAGATTCCTTAGCTTCCCGATGCTCGAGGGAATCTCCCCTTCGAACTCGTTATGTGCCAAGTTCAATGTGATCAAGCTACGCATTTCGGATATTTCTTCAGGTATCTTCCCAATGAGCTTGCATTTATTAAGATTAATCACCTCAAGATTCTTAAGATTTCCAACTGTTGCAGGTAATGCCCCGGTCAACATGTTTTGCGCAAGATCAAGAGTCACAAGCTCCGTCAAGTTCCCAATTTGTGGGAATATCGTCCCGGAAAGATTGTTCTCGCGAGCCCTGACATACCGGAGTTTTGTCAGATTCCCCATACTGGAAGGCAAGTTACCAGAGAAGTGATTTGCACTAATGTCAAAGGTTTCCAACTCCTCCAGTCTCCCAATCTCTATAGGAACTTGTCCTGAGAATGAATTTTTGCGAAGCGAAAGCACTTGAAGCTCTCTCAGCTCACTGATTGTGGATGGCAGATTGCCCAAGAACTCATTCTCGTCCAGCAAAACCACTCTCAGCCTTCGCAGGCGTGACAAATTGAGAGGAAGTGGTCCCTTCAACCTGTTTTTCGTCAAGTCAAGAACTTCAAGATTCTCTAAGCTCCAAAAGCTTGGAGACACAGTTCCATTGAAGTTACAATGGCTGAAGTTCAGGTGTCTCATGGACCTGAACTGTACAATGAATTCGGGAAATGGAAGAAGACTCTGAGGTTGTTGTTGTGTACATGGAATATCAATTTTGACAACTCTCTCGGATTCACAAGTGATCCCGGACCAATTACAGGGAGATATATTTGTGTCGAACCAATTCACAGAGAAAGTGTCTTTCGTCGTAATAAGAGAATTTCGCAGAGCTTTCAATGAATCAATGTCATTTGCAGATGTGCCAATTGTGAGGAAGGAATGCATAGTCCATAGGAACATGATGAAGAGAGAAGAGCAACATTGCTTCTGGTTTGTTGCCATTATGAGAGATCTGTTATTAAATGAAACCAGAAAATAAGTGTCAAATTATTGGAGGAAAAAGAGAAGGTAACAACAACTCAGTTGAATTCTACAAAAGTAGGATCTGGAAGGAGCGTGTATACGCAGACTTTATTCCTACTCCAAAGTTGGGAGGTTTTTTGTAAAGAGACTCTTAGCTCAAGCATCACAGATAATCATGTACACAACCTAACCTCTATGTTTAAAACATAGAGCAACTGTTTTCGGATGACCCATGATGAGCTTTGAAAGTTGCATTGCCTAACTGCTACTTCATCGTTAAAAGAAGCGCAAATAGTTTAAAGAACTATTTTACTTCATTTCATCATCATACCCAAAAGCAAAAAAAATAGTGGATCTTTGGTTCCATTAGAGATTATGAAAATAGGAAAAAGAAAAGGTAAGAAAACTATTTTGGGATGAATAATGAGAGAAAGTGAGATAGCTTTTGTGGGACGGAAAATGCTAGGGTGCCACCACATGGGTGCTATCATGGGTGCACTCATGTTTCGCACAGACAAACACGGACGATAATTGTTCGTGTCGCACAGACAATTATCGTCCGTGTTTGTCTGTGCGAAGCATGAGTACACCTATAGAAGCACCCATGTGGTGGCACCCTAGCATGGTCCTTGTGGGACATAGTATTTTTGGGGCACCAATCATAATATTTTACAATTCTTCAATACATATGTTAACACGATGCTTTTTTATATAAAGGAAACATATTCTCCTTCATACCTTCCCTTTCAAAATACATTTCATACTTTTTATGGTAAATTTAAAAATAACTTTTTCTTTTCTCTTTTTTTCCTACGCCGTGTTAATTATTAAAGAATGGAATGTGTAGCTCATATCTTTTTGATCCCTTTCTTCTTAATGCATTTTAGACAAATATTTTTTATTTTTCATAAACTCTGTAAAGTCAAACTCTAAAATTTATTTTCGAGAGGAGAAAGTACTACTTATCATACTCGTATTTTGTACCAAAAAATGCTCGTATTAGATTTTTATGATAATTGTACTTAAGTCTTTTTTGCCTACATTAGATCTATTCAAAAATGCATGAACTAAAGTACAATATTTGAATTTTCATTCTACTTTAATTCACACATTTTTTGCTACTCCCATCCTAACTTTTTGTGATGCAAGGTAACATGATTAATGATGGAATAATACCCCTAAGCCGCATGGTGGGGGCTGGGATGGGGTGGGGGTTAGGAGAATACTAATAAAGCATTATAACTTATAAGTGTCTAGATCATTCTCAAGTCACTTTTTTCTAAGGTCAAAAGAACCGTGATTATTCATCAAATATTATTATAGTTAACTTTGCCGAGAGGCCTACCTACGAGACTAAAATTAGGAGTAAAATTTAGGCCTCCTTTGATAAGTGTTTATTTTAATGAGATACGGAGTACTTAAAAAAAGGTGTAATGCTCATCACGGTATAATCTCACTCAGTTCTTGAAAGAAGCCATAAAATTAATCAATAGCATTATTCGGTATACTCCTTTTTGAGATCTCTTATATAATGCTTATGATTGTGTACCAAAAACATCATTTAATTTGAAATCCCCATTAATGATCTACTAATGAAAGCATATATACAACAATTTTGTGTACTTGTGGTTCATCACTTATCTAATAGAGTGATTATGAATGATTAACTAGGGCTGTAAACGGATAACCGAAAATTCGATTACCGTCCGCATCCGTATCCGTTTATATAGAAAATATCCGCATCCGTTAAAAACGGTTATTATCCGTATCCGATTAAGGATATCCGATTGCTAAACGGATACGGATTTGGTAATCATACATCCGATCCGTTTATAATCCGCTCCGCATTGACATCCGTTTAAATAACCGTTTATCCGTGTATCCGATCCGTTATATATGGTCTTTCCTAATTTTTTATTTTTATATTTTGTTTCTCTATAGATATCTCAAAGTATAAGAC